GTTTCGATCACAGATGATGTCTTTATGCATTTAGGCCAGGTCCGGTCAGGTCAGGTCAGGTCAACCAGTAGGGGTCGTGACGGGTATTCGTAGTACGTGTCAACCGCCTCTGACAGCTTCGTAACATGTTACGAAGCCACATGTTACATTCTCTATAAAAAAAACTGCGGTCAAAAAGTGATGGTGACTCACCTTTGGTCACAGCTAAAACAAAATTTGAGATATGGTGTAGGCTTCATGAAAAGAACGAAATTCAAAGTAGCTGCCAATTACCATGTTATCAGGTTTTTTGGAAGCTTCGATAAGCTTATGAAATAAAACTTTTTCTTTCCTGCGCTGACATTGGCAAAAAAGGCACTATCGGACGCTTTTCATTACCATCGGGATCATTAATCCCATTTTCATCATTTTAAAGCCCTTCTGATAGAGCATCGCCATATTAACCGCTCTGTGCTTTAACTCATTTGGTCTTCACATCAATGAAAAGTTCTTTCTGTCATTTGCGAGGATTACGGCAAACGTTCAACAGTATCCGACCCTGTGAGGACAAATAACGATGAACTTCGCTTCTTGCGGTAAGTAGATGGCGATGCGTTGCCGCTTGGCCGATAGCGGCTCTTCCTTTCAATTTCTCCATTTCTTGTGATTCTATGGATGTATGCCGCAAATGCGAGCAATGTGTCTTCGCAGGAGTTCCGACCCGGTCGTACATCAAAGCTTCATACACGAGCCGAACGGATCAGAAGACAAAAGGGCTGACCACCTAATAAAGAACTGTGTTCTTTCTGCCTGACCATGCAGGTCTGAAAAAAAATGATTTCAGGACAAGTGTCGAGGTGACATTTGACTGGACGAAAAGACCTATAACCGAAAATAACATTTATTTTCATTCTCCCTTTTCTGTTTATATGGAATTCCTTGTTTGATTTACTTCCCAAACCAAAACCAGCATTTAGTAGGGTAGCCTGGGGCAAGACGCCCCAGATAATTTATTTTGCTACATAACTTTTGTCCTACATCACCTGGAAGGCCAAATTTGTGCTCAATGCGTTCTTTGGACATTTTACTTTAAATTCCACCCCTCAAATTCATTCACTCATGATCGGACTCCAAGCTAGGAAGTGATTTGTGAAGCAACTGCAAATGGGGCATTTTGCCCCAACCCCAGGGCAAAACGCCCCACGGCCCGGGGCAAGAAGCCCCATACTCTAGATTAAAGATTAAACATGCTAGTTGACCAAATCTTATATGAGAGGTCCGTTAGACCTTGGGAGGCACGGCACTGAAGTTAGCACCTTCCATCCTATCAGGTGTTCAGCTATGACACTATTGTATGAGCAGGTTTTTCACCTGCCTCATAAGGCCAAATAATAAATTATTGCCATGCAACTGTCAACCAAATACTTCCTTTGCCATCCGGTTGCTGAGAAAACTACACATAAATGCATAGAAACTTACTGTTTGCCAGCTACCGAACATTAGGAAATGGGTAGTACGAACAACACATGAGGCAAAACGCCCCATGAGGCTTTTTGCCCCGCGACCTACTGGGGCGTTTTACCCCATCACGTAGTTCGGTCAGAAAACAACGCCTTGCACTCCAGCAAGACATAATTTAACACGAACCAACCCGGCATTATAAGCGTTAGATAATAGTTGTTCAAAATACATAAAAGTCGTTAACCTGATGTGGACCATAAAAGAACGCCATGATGCATAACCTGACAACAAAACATAAAAATCACTCCAAAAACACATTTTTGGCTATATCTCCCTAAGGAGTCATCACAATTTCTTTCCAGTCTGGTCATATAATGATCATATAGTGCACGTTTTATAGAAGAGAGAATATTTCCCCAGATCCTTGCCAGTTCCGAGAAACATCGGTGAGGCGTTTTACCTCGGCGGGGCGACTTGCCCCGGTCTACCCTACACCTTTTTGCACTCAAAATAGGCATCTTTTCATTCAATTTCGGCGAATTGCATTCAATTTTAGCGATCTCTCATTTGCTTCGAATAGAGAGATCGCTAAAATTGAATGCAATTCGCCGAAATTGAATGAAAAGATGCCTATTTTGAGTGCAAAAAGGTGTACTCCGAGGCACCTATTATTCTTTAGTCAAGATGCCACGCCCATTTCGGGCGCTGCCGAGCAGTGTTTCCCTATCGTGAGCGTGGCGGCAGCCGACGACTCTCTCGGCAGCCATCGCCGCTGCGGTGCCGGGTGATAGGATTACACTCGCAGCTCGCGCACCTAATGGGCACTGGCTGCCGGAGCCGGTCGGGGCGCCACTCCCGGTCACTGGATACTACCCCATTACGGTGCTGTCAACGCGACCGGCGAGGCGCCGCCGCGTCGCCGCAGGCCGGGTCGATTGGTCTATCCACGGCGTGAGATGGCTGCAGTCAACCAGACACCTCCGGTGGGTTTGATGGGAGACGGAAGACGAGATGGCTGCAGTCACCCAGCCGGAGCCATCTCTCGTGGGGTTTGTGGATTGTGGAAGTCGTCCTCTGAATGCCTCGCGATCAATGTAAGCGCCACTAGCAATATTTGGTTATTCCAGTGGAGAAGGAGATGGTGTCTAAAATTGAAATGGTGTGATGGAAGGGGGTGTAGAAAAGTTCCTCAAAACCGTGACCGGCAAGTCGGATGGATGGAGCGAGAAAGATGGAAATATCGCTTGGAAAGCCCGTGAATGTCGCAGCTAGATGATATGCCAGTTCTGGGCGCAGAGATGTTAATGAAAGTTCTTCAATCAAAACAAGAAGCCAACTGCCAAGAGGCCACGTGATATACCATTTTCGTTAAATGTCAGTCATCATCGTAGATCTCATCCACGTATGAAATATTCGATAAGAAATTGTTATGTTGCGATATGCTGCACTACGAACAAACGAAATTCCACTTAAGTGAACTTTGCACCTACCACATTGTGTGCGCTGTGCATTTCGGTCTGATCATAAACGGACTTTGTGCACGACTTTCTCAGCCATTCACAGGGACATTTACCGGCCAATTCGGGGGTTCAGTTATTTCTCCTCCTCTTACCTTGGGTATGCTTCCATGGCCGCAGCATCCGTCTGTGGTCGGGACTAGAACAGAGAACTTGATCGTCTTCCCCGTCATTGAAAAGGGATTGGGATGCTGACATCTCGAGCTCCACAGCACACGATTCCATCTTTTCCGCGTGAGGTTTAGAACTCACGTCCTTCACAGAGCACGGCACTACAGCTCACTGGACTGGTGGGCCGGGAACGCACTATTCGCGCTACGCCCTAGCCACAGCGCGGTATTGCGGGATAGCCGCCGGCACGGGGCAGGTCGGGGCGGTTCGGGTCAGGTCGGCTCGCCGGGCGAGGGCACGACCGAACCGGCCAGGGTCAGATCAGGGTCGAAAAGCTGGCTGTGTTTGAGTGTGCTATGCTATGATGCGTCTTGCTGGACTCTGCTAAATAAATGCTGTGATCGTATTTAACCCTCGCGGGCCCGGGGGGGGGGCGTTTTTCGCCCCCCCCCCCTGGTGAATATTTGCGATAGCTCTCGAACGCTTAGGGATAGGAAAGCCAAACTTTCAGTACCTTTTTTCCCATCAATTTGACATCTTCTGAAGTAAAAAATTTGGACCTAGCCCCCTTGATGACGTCACAAGGTCCATTTTGCTAGACCCCTGCACGGCAAACTTTGGAGTCACAGACTCAAACTTCAAATAACTGCTAAAAATATAGTTTTAGAGATAAAGACAAATTACGAGCACGGTTGTGTAGCGTTTGACCTAGAGAAAAATAGAAAAATAGTTTTGGTGACCTGAGGTCAGAGGTCAGGTCAACGACCCCGACATGTGGTTTTAGTTTTTCGCAAATAACTTCGACAGTGGTACCATCGCATTCGCCTTGTCAAGCCGCGTCGAATGATATATATTTTGTTCGGAAAAGGTCAAATTTTATGTTGACCTCATTTGACCTCGAATGACCTCTGGTTGACCTTAACACATGAAAGGTCGTTTATGATGGATTTGTACCCGCTGATCACGAATCTGGCATCTATTTTCCTCTAAGCCTTCATTTAGAGCTTCCGGATGGCAAAATTGTCTTATTTATTATTACTATCTTGAATCAGTGAAATAGCCTCTAGCAGGGATACTCTTCTGTGACCTTGACCTTTGAGCAGCCTTGTATCGTAAGATGAACCACAAATAGGGAACTGATGAGCCTCAAAACATTTCAAAACATCTTTGAAGCTAGCACGCAAGATGTGCGAAAATGTGCCAAGTTTGAGGTCAATTCTGAGTGTGACCTTGACCTTGACCTTTAATTTTGAGCACATTTTCGGAATCCTCAGATTCTCTCCTTTCGTTTGACACCTAATTTTGCCGGTTTGATGCAGCCTGCCGTCCTCTAGAAGGCTTACTTTGATATCACTACACATGTGCCGGTATTTGCCTTTGACCTTGACCTCTGACCTTGAAAATTGACCTGAGGTCAAAAATTTTAGATGCTTTAGAATCGTCCCGTAAGGACCTTTCGTTTGGTATCGCTTTTGTTTCCGTAGCTCCCTTATTTACGGAGTTAGACAGGGGGGCGAAAAACGCCCCCCCCCCCCGGGCTGCGGTGGTTGGGATTACCCCCCGGGCCCGGCCGGGTTAAAGAATTCTGCTTCACCTGACCAGCAAGAGTTTATATTTAAATACTTCGATTGCATACCGTCAAAGAATCACAAAAACGGATGACAAATGTGGAAATCATATCTACGAATTTTGTCGTCCCATACGACAGATAATGTCCTCGAACTACTGGCATCTAGTGTCGAACGATCTATCATGGGTTTGGTGTAAAACGAACTGAGAGTGCTGCTGAACCTGATTAAATCTAAGTGATTGAAGGGTGCCTGATTAAATCTGATTCCATGCTGAAAAACGACTGATGTCTAATATAGCGCTCACCTTGACCCTTTACCGTAAACACTTCTTACACACAATTCAGTGCTCACCAAAACACTGTTTACCGCAACCATGTTGTATTTATGCACTCATGATCGTACGCATTTGACTAAATTGGCTAAAACCTCTGGCCGCAGTGATGTGGCGCCTTTGATCTGGCTCCCGTGGCTCGGCCAGGTTTCTTCCTCTGCGCCCGATCAGGGCCGCTCGCCGCTGGCCAGTCGGCGCTCGATGTCGTCAATGACGACCAGCAGCTCCGTCACCGAGTCGATGACGTAGTGACAGCCGCAGTCGGTCATGATGTCGTAGGCGCGCTTCATGCGTCTCTGCACCTCCTGGCGTGGGGTGACCGCCAGCTGCGCGGCCGACAGGCCCACGTAGTTACCCTGTGGACATACAGTGAGGCTTATATGACACATTTCCAACCGATCTGCGAACTGCGACAGTCAAAGCAGCGTAGTAGCTGGCGCTTCGGGGTATGTAAGTACATGAGACAATGCCTGAGCTCCAAACATGGTGTTGGCCGCTCTATTCTCTGCAATATGTTATTCCCTTTCATTCTCAGGCCAATTCGAGGCAAATGCACCCCCTGATAGGATGGTGAAACCATAAAAACTATAAAAATGAGTTTCTACTGATGATGCAGAATAGACAGTGTCTGTCAGCCAAAATGGTGTCCGACCCTCCCCTCGTTCGGCCCAACAATAGCGATAGATGCGACATCTGCCAGTAGAGTGCAGGGCTCGCCGAATCCATAGTTCGGTGCTTGGCCGCTTGCTAGTTCCAATGGTGGCGCTGCAGCCGGGGTGCAGCCGCTACTTTAGGGGTAAGAACGACCGTTCCAGCTACCATATACCATTTTGTCCCTAGGGGACCCGTTTTGCTTGCCGCCCGTAACATTACTCGGAGGACGGAGACCCATTGCACCTGACGGCCCATACAATAAAGACCCTAGCCGTTCCACCACTGGGTACCCGTTCCATATCCCGTTCCACTCCTGGGAATCAGTTCCACTTTTCGCTTCACCACTGAGTAGTAAATACCCCGTTCCACTTGCCGTTTTGACGACACCGACGGTCCAGCAGCCGGCGGCCAGCCCCTCCCGGATGCCGTCCACCGTGTCGTCTACTTTGACGATGGCCTCGATGGGGCTGACGTTGAGTCGGATGGCGTTCAGCCACACCATGTGCGGCAGCGGACGGGCCGCCGGCACTTCGTCGGCGGTGACGCTCACGTCGGGACTGAAACCCTTGCGCGCCGCGATCGGCTGCGGGTCGAGGTCAGAGGTCAGTCTTAGCGGCATGTCTGTCACCTTGACAGTCGTCCTTACCTAACCACGAGCCAGCCCACCCTCCCCTACTAACTTTCCACTAAACGGAAAAATCAAGTTTGGGCAGGTTGAAAATTGGGAGTCTGTCATCTGTAAGAATCTGCGATATAATTCACAAGGTAACTTTCCATATCATGCTGATAGTGAAAAAGAACTTCGAAGGGCTGCAGCGAAATGGTGAGTTTTATAGTGCAAGTAATGATATATCTATGAGCTGTTGCCGTTTCGGTCGACCGTTTCGAGCAATGTTTTTTTTTTTTATAACTTCTTGCTGTTTCGAAGTTCGATGCATGAGAGGATAATAAGCTGACTAATTTGTGACCAATGTATGTAGCTCAGCAATATTAGTTTAGTGCTGCTCGTTGCTGCACCTAAGTTTCACTTTCCAGGACCTCCTTTTGCTTATTACAGCATTCCAGTTTTAACCCTCGCCGGACCTATTGGTTTTCTACATACGCGCCGGCCGAGGGGGGGACGGGTACGACCCCCCCCCCCCCTCGCCGTTTCGCCCCTGGTGGAGCTAGCGCGTTGCGGAAAAAACTAGCGTGTGCGCCGTTACGAGACGCAGAGATTGGAACCCGATTTTAAGGTCCTAGGCCAACCGGTGACCCTGAGGTCAGGTCAAGTGCCCCAAGGTACGGTTCAGTTTTTGGTGAATAACTTCGCAAAAAAAAACGGCCACAGAGCCGCGATTTTGGCAGCATCGTGTTCGCCTCGCTCAGGCGCGTCGAATGATATACTTTTTGCTCGGGTCAGGTCAACTTAGGGTGTTGACCTCAGGTCAAGGTCAGGTCAGCGCCCCAGGTCACGAAGTTGGTCTAAAGAGGTCATGTCGCATATCATTCGCTTCGGCAGGTCTTCTTGAGTCCATTGGTGGCTTTCCCCGACTCGCTAGCTCAATTTGATCAAGAGTTATTGACAAAAAACTAATATGACCTTGATGACGTCATAAATGACGTCACACAAGGTCAACATTGCAAAAGTGACGCATCTAACCTTGCAAGGAGTGCATCAAATCACGATTCTGTGTGCTTGAGATAGTTGGAGATCGTTCCCGGCGCCAGAATAGCAGTTTTCATTTCCCCCCACTGATTTATAATGGTGAGATCACGAAAATGACCTGACCTCATATGACCTTTAGGAGAAATCCGAGATATACAAGTTGTGAGACCCATAATGGATACTAGATCCTGCAAGTTTCATTTCCCTGTGACATCTCCTCTGGCAGTGAGGGCGTTGCGAAGTTGCGACATCTGAAGACCGTGCAGAGTTTCACTTATGACGTCATAGGTCAGGGACCTGACCTGACCCAAAAATGCGGTTGGTGTCAAAAGATCCGGTTTGAATCAAAGGTCAGGTATGCCAAGTTTCAGCTCTCTATCCAGCATGTTCGGAGCTATCGTGAAGAACCCTATGGGGGGGGGCGGGCCGGCGAGGGTTAAATTTCAAAACAGGCATAACCCTGTCATAACCCTGTCGAACTGTGTTGATTTTCAGAGAGGCATGTAGGTAGTGCAGTCATGTAGCTTGTTATCGGCCAGCAGAACCTGCCCGTGTGCCGCCGGAAGGCTGACCCCGCCCCACCGGTTGCCGGCCGGTGTCAGGGTACGTCGGACCGCCTGTCACCACTCTGTTCAGCCCAGCGACCCTCTCAAGGACGCTGCCCCACCTACCGCATGTATAATGTCAACAAATCTACATATGAAGTCTGTGCTGACTGGGTGAGATGTACCAGCCGCGGGGCCGAGCAGGTCACTGTAACAGTGGCGTAATGACTGTGGAAAAGGCCGGTAAAATTTACAGTGTTTATTTGTGAGTCAGTTCAATATCACTTTCAGGGAACGTCGCTAAAAAATTTAAAAATTGGACGGCATTTCTGGAGAAGCGATTCGTTTTCTTTGCAGGTTCTTGAATTTATAGGTCCCTACCAGTAATTGTAGATTAAGTGAGACGCATTTTCCGAAATATATTGATTTGATATGATGTGGCATGTGATAATGTGAGTTAGAATAGAGGAATGAGTATAATGTCGTATCCTTTCACACCATGTATCGCTGACCTCACTGATGACGTAACAACGTCACTGATGATATAACATACGTTTAACTACAAACACCCTCGAGCATGAAACACGAAACTGACCACGGGCCTGTGTATGCCGAGGTCAAAATATACAGACGTCCGCGACAACATACCATCAGCCGGTCGAGGATGGGCCGCACGAACCCGGTGCAGGAGCCGATCTTGATGCCCCGATCTCTCAGCTCCTCCACCGTCTGCGGAACGTTGGTGATGACGTCAGCGTGCGTCTCCAGAGCCTCGATGTTTTTCGGCACGAACTTGGCGTACATGCGGTCGACATCGTCCTTGGTCGGCTCTCGGTCGAACTTTTCCACCCATCGGCGACGAACAGTGGGCATCTCCAGCATTTTCTCAATGTGCGTCTGCAGGCAGCGAGAGCATCATGTCAGGTATTTGGAATTTGATGTGCCACCGAGGACAGAAAATTAAGATTATTAAAAGGTGATGCTGTCAAAACAGCGACACGAGAGTTCTAGCACTAGAGAACTACAGGATTTATAATTACGGACACCTACCTATATCTACACTACAACTTATTGTGCGGATGAAATTCTAAGATTAATTCCACTTGACTTTTTCGCTATTCCATCGTAGGAACTTATTCACCCCAACTTTCATTTACATCGATGATAAAGCTTAACTAACTAACGAATGGTTAATGCAAGTTTACCGTTTATTTGTTTTTATTATTTATATATATTTATTTATTTATTTATTTATCATTATTATTTTCTTTTTATTTATTTATTTTTTTCCTTTCATGTGGAGCATCACTCATCATCATGACGTCCGACGTCCGTTTCACATCAGCTATTTACCCTTTTGTGCATGCCCATCGGCTCTCTGACTTCATTGTCCGTCACTGCAATGCCCTCTTCTTCAAAAATGGCGCGGAATGCCAGCGCTGGCGCCATCACACCTGTGTCCACGACGGTACCTGTTGGAGCCACGGGGGGGGGGGGCGTCACTCGGATACAGAACAACATGGGGTCACCACTCGGCACTCACCAGTCACCATAATCAAGATCGTATCGTATGCACAAACGGAATGTGGCGTCTGGTCTCTGAAGAAGGACGACCTTTATAAAGAGTGAGGTGCAATCTGCACCATAATTTCGCTACGAAATGTTACTTTAGAGTTTAGGGAGAAAAAAACTGGTGCATGACCTGGCTGCATGCATGCCGATTGCCGGTCGACAGCTTTCATATATGGGTAAGCATATAAGTGGCGACTGGTGAAGGTCCCCATCCTTAGCGACACTCGAGCGGCACTCGAGCGGCACTCGCTTTCCGGCCATGCCATACCTATGCAGCCCGGCACGTCAGGCCCATAAAGTGTCTGACGTGACATTATCAGCGACACGGCCCGGCACGGTACGGTCACACATGAGATGTATCCAGCGAGCATCGCACGCCGCCCAGTGGGCTGTCAGACCGGTCCTCCCCCCCCCCCCCCTACCACTACCACTGCAACCACTATTACCTGGGTGCAGCTACTTCAGCTAAGTTAGCGAGTGACCTTGCGTAGGAAAGCAAGGTTGAGAGTGTATATTTGAGGACGACTTTACATTTATTTTGAGGTTTCTTGTTTGCATGGTATCGCTTACAACGTAAGCGAAATGTACGTTTTTAGCTGTATAAATAAATGCTCTTACCTGCCCAGTCGAAGATGACAGCCTTCACTTTGCCAATGTATGTGCGTTTCATGCGATATTCGGCTTCCATGATGATTTTCTGTCAGAGGAAAGAGAAGATTGATAGAGGTTGATGATGAATAATGGTCATCACACATATAGCTGGTCAATGGCTACTAGCCATTGGCTAGGTCACAAAAGTCAATGAGCCAACAATGTTGAATTTGAAACTACTGCTCAATATAGTTTGTAAAATCAAGCACTTTTATCAAATGTGCTAACAAACTTCGTGTACCTATATCATGTTCAATTACCCTCATTCCTTCATACACAGGCCGATTAGCGAGCAAAAGCGAACAGTACCTAACTACATCAGTGAAAATATACTCGTAAAGAAGGCAAGCTGGGATAAGCGGGCAGTCACGATTTATGGCATGATCTTTATCAAAGTAATCATTTAATTTTAATAAAAAGTAGTTAGCTTCATCTACATTTTACAAATATCATTTTGTACGCGTTTTATACAAGTCGCACTATCATAATTAACCCTGTAAAATAAAGCGGCATCCCACAACGTAACAAAAAACATGTAGATGCACGCATGCTTCGCTGCATCGATATGTACCCACGAGAAAATCGGTCATCCTGTGATCCCAGACCTGGCACAATGCACATCACGTATAAACCCTTATGTCGTCAACCACTACACGAGGTATATATGCCTGACTACGCGAGTCGGGTCGTCATTGCGTTACGTAAACGGGCAGCTCACCGGGTAGATGTGTGTGAGAAGACGTAGTCCAGCAGTAGCAGCCTTGGTAGAGGCGACGGCCGTCCGCCAGGTCGAGCCACTACAGGACTAGTGAGACCCTCCTCCTGTGAAGGCCACCCCGCTGCCCGCCTGCCCGTGCCCCCTCCCCCCCCCCCCCCCCCAGCCGGCAGTCGATCTGATATAAACATAGCTGAAGGGCGCACGGCAGGCGACGGTACGGGGTTCCTGTGAAGTGGTGCTTACTGTTCACTTCGCACGAAGAGACGGAGAACGGGAAGTCATCAGTAATGTTTTATTCTGACAGCAATATCTTTCATGTGCAAATGTCTTGAAACGTATTGTTCGCATGAATGCATGCGTATTTTTAATGGAAAAGTAAAAATGGCATTAAGTTATGAGCCTTGATATACCAACGATCAGCAGTATTAAATTTAGTTGAAGTCTCATAATGAGGTTAGGAATAGGTAAAAAGCTAAGCGAACGGATTATCGAACGGTAGAAAGCGTCTGGCCTCATCAATGCCTCGTTCAACTTTAATGAAGAGCTCTCGTGCTCCAAGTGATCAAAGCCCTGGGTTAGGCCTAACTACTGAGGAGACAGCCTACCGCCTCTGCTATTTCGTTTTTACGCCTACATCTACACCGGATCTGTCGTGACTTGTGTCACAGGGCTGCGGAGTTGATGGATTTTCGGCGACGCCGACTTCGACTCTGACTCCGACTTTCAAAAACTAACTCCGACTCTGACTCCGTCTCCAGGCAGAATTGTTGACTCCGACCGACTCCAACTCCGACTCCGACTCCGCGGACCTGGCATGGCTGCCAAGTCGATGGATTTTAGGTGACCCCGACTCCGACTCCGGCTCTGATTTTCAAAATCGACTCGGACTCCGACTCCGGTCATAACTGTCGACTCCGACTGACTCCAACTCCGACTCCGACTCCGACTCCGACTCCGCAGCCCTGAGTCCTGTGATAACTGATAAGCTCTCAAATGCGATTTCTTTTAAGCCTTGCGGTACAGTCTAACTTCAGGCGCTGACTACCAGTGACATCTAGCGGCAAAAGTTGAACTAGCGTGACAATGGCAATCGCATACCATGTATGTACTCTCAAATGCAGATTGCACATGTTCATATCATATACCTACAGGCACTATCAGCACCATATTGGACTGAAAGGAGGATGAACACAACAAGAGTGTTCATAGCTTACCGAGCGATGGTCGGGTATCCGTCTCTTTCTATGCAATGCAACAATCGTTAACCGTAGTTTATCGTATCTCTGGCCGTTGTCGCCAGAGTCAGGCAAACCAAGGAGACTCGTGAAAGAATAACTGAAAGCTCACTGATGTTCCGTTTATTGGTAGGTGCTCGTGCACATGAGGTAGGTACCGGTACTAGTTATGTACCTATCTTATCATCCTAGCAATTATAACATAACTCTGCCACGATGCAGTTATGTCCTGCGGTACAGCCTAAATTCAGGCGTTTATTGCTATTGCCACGGCGCGATATCTCAATTGTATTGGTAGCCCCTGCTCTCACTGACGATTGACCTCTGGCACTAGATAGACGACAAAATATTGATATAATGCTACGCTTCTGTGTGCTTTCTTATGCTCTTTTTACCTTCATATACCTAAAGATATCTTACAGTATTTCAATAGAACGTCTACGATCATCGTCATCAGGCGTCTACGAATAAAGTCCCTCGAGACACTGCAGGATATGCAGCGTCTGGCTCTGCATGCTCTTCTTCTCGTCACACCACACTGCAGCGACAAGAGCTATTCGTGTTTGTGACCGTTAATTCTGAACTCTGGGCGGTCCAGAAACCGAGTGATACCCCACGGGAAAGGGGTAACGGGGAGCAGGAAGCCGTTCCACGACCATGGGAGAGCTGTATAAACAACCGAGTACCTATCCCGTTAGATCGCGGTCAGTCGGCGATTCGGTACTAGTGAATGTATGTGTATACGAGCTTGTGTATCTCGAATATTGAGTAACTGCATGTTGTCAAAAGACGTCACTTCGTCGAATTCATGCAATGACTTTACATGATACAGCGAAGACAGCCTCCTTACTGCGTTATAATTAGTGTTTACCCTAACTGAGGAAGTGAGCTGCAGCGCTGTCGGAAATAACAGTAAATAAGCGAATAAAATGCCGTTCTATCCATGCATGCAGGACGTATAGAAACCGTTCGACTTCAAGTTTCAACCTTCAAATTTCAATCTGGCAAAGTTAGCCTGCCATTTCGCATCCATTCTTGTTTGCCTCTTAGGTTATTGTTCTCGAATAAGAAATGTTTGTAAATAGGGAGTGGTGCCGTTCGCTGCACTACCGCCATCTGTGTCAACTATAAGTGTAAGAGATCCTCCGTCAGAGGGCGCCAGTGCGGGCTGTCGAAGAGACTGCATCGTAGTCGGCCAGTGGCCGATGATCCGATCAGTCATCTTTTGTTTGGAAAGCGTTGTTACCACACGGTCTGCAATTGCATCCTAAAATAAGCTACATCACTATTTTCAAGCATGACACCGAATCACAGCCTTTTCACAGGCCAATCGCTGCAGTGCAACATCCTTAATCCCGGGGAGCATCCACGCTTAGACACCACCACTTAGGTACAGTCTGTCTTAAAAGTACCGCGCAAAGTGACGGTGGATCCATCATGCCTGACCGAGGAAGGGCCTACTAAATTTGAGTCACTGAAGCAATTCACATCCTCGTCCATTCCCTAGGTCAATTGGTTCGGTGACTTTCAAATTATAGCAGGCCCTACCTCAGTCAGGCTTGATGGATCCACCGTCACTTTGCGCGGTACTTTTAAGACAGACTGTACATGGCTGGGGAGCGCAACAGGAAAGGCACAACCGGTATTTTAATGCTCGACTGCAGCCTGCTACATATATCAATGGCTGTGGGTTTCGCCTGCAATTACACAACCAGGTTTGATTTAATTATTTATGTATTTACTGCATGGCATGGGATACAACACAGGACCCAAATACACATAGAACACAGGGATTAAGTTGTGATGTTGACGAGTTGTGATACCCGTTTAGGCACAGACCGCATCAGTCGAATTCTAGGCACATTTTATTTTAAACAGGTCAGAAAATGCAAACACACATTGCGCCTTAAAGCTATGACGTCCAACAACATCTGTGCAGTTATTCTGATTCCAGTCGAATTATGCCTTCGTACTATCAAACAAGAATACGGTTACGGAGTACAGACGTCGAGCGCAAAAGCATTCACGCAGCCCAGAAACTTAGCTTAAATGGAGTATCGCAATGGTGTCATATATGACACTGGCCAAACATATGCATTATACAGTGACCAATCACGTTACACACTGAACCAGTAGCAGCTAGAACTATAAGTCACATAAATAACACAGAAACCGATACACATGAATCGCCCCAGCTAGCCTATCTGTAGTTAAATTGTAAAATAACGTAATATAGCGTCAAATGGCTACTACCCCGTCATAACCATTATGCCCATACGATCACCCCACATGTTGGACAACGAACACTCGATATGCATGACAATACTTGCCCCGGTGAGCCTGGAGCCCCGCAACCCCCCCCCCTCCCTGCCCCTCCCTCCCTCATCCCCATCGAACGACCTGATGACTCGGGGGCGGTGCCCAGCCCATTAAGTCCAGTCAGCTCTGGTCACATCAGGCGCCTCTGGAAGTCAGTCTTCTGGACATTGCGATCAGAAGACCCATCCAGCAGGCCTTCAAATACTACACTAATTCACACAGATTAAATGTCAATCAAGTAAGACAATTTAGCGTACACAGCATTTATGCCAATATATGGCACATTTGCTGGGACGCACTACGAATATAATATAATAGGTAGGACATTAGCTTCAAACAGAGGTAGCCACACACTGTCGTATACGATCTGTCACTGATGAGTACTGAAATCGGTCCGGTATTGAGCGGTAAGACACTGTGTCCCTGCAGTCACGCTGTACCCGAGATGCGGTTGCGCCATGACCTAGTCCTCGGGCAGAGGGTCGTTGGTCTCCTCCTTGATCACCCCCATACCGGCGTCGTACGTCATGCTCTCCTCCCTGCGGACCACGGCAGTGGCGTCTTACTTCCAGGCTCCAATAACAGCATATAACAACCGTGCGATATGGGATACATAGACGGTATCAAATACCAATAATAATTGCGATTATACGAGAATAGAAAAGCGTTTATCGTACAAATATGACAGCTTAATTCGGAATAAAATAAGACAAAAACAATACACATCAGGCCGCAAAAGAAACTATTAAGTATTAGCATGCATCACATGCAAAAACGCACACATGCTAGTAAATTACACGAATGGAGATAAAAACCCACGTCTCCTGATATATCCGAACGATTACGGTTGGGAACTTGACACTTGACTGACCCTTACGTCACGCAGCTCAGTCACGACGTGACGGTTAGATGATATAATGAGCCCTCGCCATGCACCCCGACAAAACTACTAATGGACCTCATGCCTTGTTCCCCAGGAAGGATGCAAAGAACGCAATAAAATCAAAAGTTTTCGAATAGCAGTTTAGCTTGATCTTCGAATGAGCCTTAAGGCCTGGCTACACTATGCGTTTTCTTCGTGCGTTTTTTGCGTGTTTGCGTGTTTTGCGTGATATCGTTCTAGAAAAAAGAACGATATTACGTTTTTGTGATGTTTTTCACCTTAAATTTTAGTTACATAAGAGTTATATTAGCTTTTGTATATAACCAAAGTAAAAATTATATTGTTTATAACATTTTTCCTAGAACGATATTACGCAAAACACGCAAACCTGCAAAAACGCACGCAGAAAACGCATAGTGTAGCCAGGCCTTTACAGCTTGAACAATTTAGATTCTCCTTTGCATGCAGTAGAGTGAAAAAATATTATAATTATAAGCAGACAAGCCGGGTGTTAAAAGTTATAATTGACGAGCGAACTATATCACGCCTCTTGAAGCAATATAATTGTTGAATTTTATCCATTTAATCAATCGTTAAAAAAACTTACTGTACCTGCTACCCACAACTATGGGTCACTCTTAAATTGTTTTTGAGAGTAAGGCATCTTGCGTTTGTTTTATGACGGGGTCGCTTAAATTCTACAAAAAAAAAACGTTATATAGTAAAACGTTTTAAATAAATTACGAACAAATAAACCAGCTAGCCGCAGCCATCGGCAGTCCGCTGCAAATCCCCGGTGTCTGTCGGTGTATCGCTTTCTCACCGCGGCGTGTTAGCGCAGGAGGCGAGCCCGCCGGCCCCGTTAGTCGCATGCTGGGCGGGATAGGGGCGGGTCAGTGGGCCGACCCGGCGGCTAACCTCTCCGCCTCTGCCATCGACTCGGACTCCGTGTCCTCAGAGTCATCAGAGTCGCGCGCGGCGGCGGCGGCGGCTCGGCGGCGCAGCAGCTGTACGGCAGCCACCGAGTCGGAGTCCTCGCAAATGCTGGCGCGTCGCGACACACACGGCGTGGCCACGGGTGTGGGTACGGCCGACACGTGGCGCACGCACAGCTGGAGGCAAGTGGTCACAGGTCAGAGCTCAGACACGTGGTCAGACAGGTCAGAGCTCAGATAAGTAGTTAGGTCAGTCATTACTCAGACACGTGGTTGGACCGGTCAGTACTCAGACACGTGGTTATATCAGTGGGTAATCAGATACGTGGTCAAACACTAGGGGTGGGACTTCCACTGGCGTCTAACTGAGCAGACGTCCAAGTTGGTGTCTAATTGTTGGACGGATACTTCCAAGCTAGAAGCGTCTTAAGTTAGCTGTCGTCAGATAGATGCAGCCGCCGTCCAGCTAGACGTGTCTAAGACTTAGACGCGTCTAGCTAGACGCGAAGTGGAAGTCTCCACTCTTCAAGTTTTTATTCGCATAAGTTGTTCAGCCGACAAGAAATAGCTCAGGGAAAAAATAATGAAATACAATAAACATACAATACGTTAGATACGGGGAAAAAATCGAAGGGATTTGCCTTGAAACAAAAGGTTTGGTTCATTTCAAAGAATGACTAAGGAATATTATTTACCCTTTGGCAGTCCACTCCCGCGTTCCTGATCCTTACGTTGCCGTCCTTGTCGGTGTAGTACCAGCTGACGCCGCAGTCGGCCGAGCCCTGCGCCTCCAGAGCCATGCGCACCAGCTCGCGGTCGACGGGCGCCCCGGCGTCCTCCTCCGCCGGCTGTCGGTCCACCACCTGGATGCCGGCGGCCATTACCTCGCTCTCCAGACGCTCGGCGTCCGTACTGGTGCACACCGTGAGACCGTGCTCCCTGGGGGAGATACAGACACACTGTCAGACCGTGCTCCCTGTCAGATACAGACACACCGTCAGACCGTGCTCCCTGGAGGAGATACAGACAACGTGAGAAAGTGCTCTCTGTGGGACAGACGCACTGTCAGACCGTGCTCCCCGTGGGGAGGATAAGCCTCTCAGCACCGCCCTGAGGTACCGTTTGAACACCGGTCGAACAGCAGCCAGCCACCTTTTACATAATTGGTCAGTCACCGGTCACTCAACAGTCCGTCACAACTTACAAGTCGGCAGTCGCACGGTGCAAACAAAGCGGTCAGTCACCGGTCAATGAAAACAAGCTACCATTAGTCGTCGGGACCTGCAGCAGCGGCCATCGAGGACTCGTACGATCAGCGTACCTGTGTCATCTCCAGAAAGTAGGCAGACCCTTGCTTCATTCTTATCGACACCAATTGTGACATCATCCAGACAGCTCCACCAGGGTACAAAGAGTACAGACGGTTGAGCGGAGACATCTTGCTCGAGTAGCTGATAACATGATCATTATGGTCCGGACCCAAACCCCATCTTAGCCGTCCATCCACTCATAAATAGGCCTCACCCAGCAACTACCAGCGTATCTCGGTGCTCCCGATGATTCACAAACCATGTGAACCCGTTGCTAGCACGCAGCTGAACAATGTCGATAGCCCTATTCTCTGTCCTCAGCAGCACATATTCCATCCCGGCTAATCCGCAGAGTCAGCCCTACTCGAGTCTGTCGCTTACATAACCGATAACATAGATAGTGGACGCGCGACATTGTTTGTCACCGGCGACACTTCAAAGGCGTTTGACTGTGTCAAACATGTCGGATACTGGAGGCTGGGGTGGGACGCATTGACGTCAAATGGCTTCGTGGGTGGCTTTTTGGCGTTCCGGCCGTGCCCATTACATCATGGACACTGGACAGTGGAACATAATCAGTAAGATGGCGGTACAATCGACTCAGGAGTTAGGAGGGAAGGAGGAACACCAAATAGCCGCGGCCAACCGGCATTATTCTGTCTTTTGATTGGGCTGGCTAGGATGCAGCGCCGTATATCGCGTGAAACAGAGAAACTCGTCGTAGAGACCCTCCTACCTTCCTTTTCATGCAACTGCGCGTATTTGAGAGAGGTGTTGCTCCGTGGGCCGGACACAAAAGCTTCAGATATACATTAACTCTGTCACACTCGATGTCGTATCGAGCACATGCTATCGGAATTCGGAGGTACTGCACATTGCACATGTCTGGCACGCTGCACGAGCGTGGCTGGTTCACTATCGGAGACCTGATAACTGACCGTGACCTGTGCACCATGTACCGACTTATCCATCATGAGAGTGACCCTCATTACTGCTCCCGCGTTCAAGGGGGTCGTCGTAGGTATCAGCGTGGGCTACCGGGAATCATCGATGGATGAGACTGACTATCAGCGAGAGAGACACTGCTCCCGAACAGAGTCGGCCAGACGCTCATTTTTATCAGGCTTTAAGAGTATGGAACATAATGATGCGAGGCAACAATACAATAATCGAATGCTATGGCCATTTTTAAGACGTATATAACAGATCCCACTAGGAATCGTCTAGAGTTTACGGCTCAACGTAAATATTCCTATAGTCGTCACGAAGACTCATCATTAGGTAGTTGATAATTCGCTTCCTATTATCAGATACAAATAGAGGTAGTTTGATACAGATTGAGGTAATGTTGCGACCTTCCTGATAAACAGCATGGCCACCTCAGGGAGCACTTAGCAGAAGGTCAAACCGCACGTGGTTTGAAATATTACGCATTTCGCGACTATTATCAGCATTGTGTCATGTCACTCCAGCATTCGTAACAACGCCCTCATGAAGCTAACTATGTGGAAACGTTCTCCAGGCCGATAAGGCCGAACAAGGAGATGATAAAGACAACATGTGTGCCGCATATTTGGTACCCTATGACGTAAACAAAGTCGGTTCCGACGGCCCCGTCGGAGCGGTCGTCCGATAAAGACTGGCGTCTGTCGGCCACTGGCCGGGCAAGTCTGTGGCACAAACACCGCGGCCGGCCAGACGGACCCTAGACCGGGGGCGAGGGTGGCGCGGTTCAGTCGCACTGTTTGTGCGCAGTAGCCGCTGGCGCCGCGCTCAAGGCCGCAGTCGAGGGTGTGGGGGAGGCTGGGCACCGCCGGCCAGGGGGTCTGCTCACTGTCAGCAGAGGGCTGGCCATCCAGGATAAAACACACAGCGTGGAGCTGGGTAAATTCTTACTGAGTTCTATTCCCCATTTCGCGTCAACGGATCTGAATTATATAAACAGGTAAATGACGGCTACCGTACAGCGTATATCCCAGTCGGAGAGTCTGTGACACACAGACACGTCGAGCACCGAATTGCACTCAACCTTATCATTTGCTAGCCGTCCGATAACTTCACTTATCAATGACTCACTGCTACTAACCCAAGACTATCTCTATGCCCATCTTCAACTAGAGTCCGTCTCGACCAGCTTTTATAGGAGTGTTCCGACCACCTTGTATATGTCTATCCCAAACCGCTCACCTGTTGGTGAAATCCACGTGGAACTCGCGGTCAAAGCGTCGCACGATGCCCGGAATGTAGGCGTCGGCGCCGTCGTCGAGCACGTCCGGCACCTGCGTCTGTCCCTCTTCCAGGCCAGCCGCTACAGGAGGAGTGCCAAAGTCATTAGGAAATTCACCGAGCGGTGCATACGCCGACACTTGAGCATATGAATCAAAGGTGCATTCAGATGGGCGTGACTGCATATTTAAAATTCGACATTCGAACGACGTCAACGGTATTGAAAATGTCATTTGTGTTACATTTTAAGGACATTGCCAGTTATTTACAACGGGCGCCGTACTAACACTCTCTGGCTAACGGCGATCAGCGCATAAACTTATACTCTGTGACTGGCAGCGATCAGTAGGCATACTTACACTCTCCGTACTTATAATACTTCCCATACTTACACTCTCCGTATTCGGTGAGGTTCAGCCAGCACAGTAGCGGCCAGCGGGCGTATACTCCCCGTACTTACACTCTCCGTATTCGGTAAGGTTGAGGCGGCACAGGTAGCGGGCGTATACTCCTTGCATTCCCCGTACTTACACTCTCCGTACTCTGTGAGGTTGAGCCGGCACGGGTACTATATATATGAGCAGGCACAGGCATATACTCCCCGTACTTACACTCTCCGTACTCTGTGAGGTTGAGCCGGCACAGGTAGCGGGCGTGTACTCGCCGTACTTACACTCTCCGTACTCGGTGAGGTTCAGGCGGCACAGGTAGCGGGCGTGCACCTGCCGAGAGCGCGGCAGGTGGGCGCTGAAGCCGCTGTGTACGGCGCTGATCACCTCTCCGGCGATAGTCTCCAGCACAAAGGCCAGCTGCGGGATGCGCTGCACCAGCCTGGACACATAGACAGATACCGGTCAGAGGGGCGGTCAGGTCAGACAGGACAGGTTAGGGTTCTATACTTGTCAGGTCAAATTGACAGGTCCCTCAGGGAAGGCTGAATCATTTGGATCACTAAACAACACTCTGTCAGGCTATGATGACATCTAAGAAGCGGCTATTCGGGACCCAACGGATGCAATTGTGATCGTTCGGGCCTCTATCTGACACGCGATTGGAGCTGCTGTCGGGGTTTCTATTTCCCTCTATGGCAGCGCGGTGGCGGTCGCCGTACCTGTCGTAGATCTGTCTGATGATGCCGAAGGGCAGCGTCCATGGCACGGCCAGCACCATGAGGTGTCTCACGCCCGGGAAGTTGAGCACCCAGTTACGCAGCATGCTCCTCTGACGGAGGATGTTCTGGTGGAGCGGCTCGTGAACGGCGTCCGGTAGACGGGCCAGCATCGCCTCCTGAGGGAGCGACGGGGAGGGGGGAGACGGGGCCGGTCAGTTTGGGGTGACCCCGTGACGCATCAACATCGATAATGACGCGAGAGATAAACAAAGTGACTGAGCTTTAGAGCAAAAAGTGAAGAGTGGAAAAGATACGCAGAAGCTAGCCGGATTCTGTGTATCGAGGGTTTTCAACAAAAAGTTGAGGTGTTATCGCGTGTTGTCGTCTTGTCATTCATCTGTCATGAATTAATTACGATATTAATAATTTCCGTGTAAACTCCGTTTGAAGTTAGCGTCGGTCGTCGACATTTGTAAACATATACGAGCAGCCGTCACAAAGAAGCTGCTAGTTCGAGCATGTTTGAACGAAAGATCGCCTGTTATTTGTGTGAGCAGATTTGTACGCGAGAAACCGTCGCTATTTTCTAACTTGTTTGTGCAGTCGTCACTGGCCTATTCTTTGCGGAAGCGATTGCTCACTAATCTGTCGTTTATACAATCCTCACTGGTCACTGACCTGTGTTTGCGCGATCAGTCGCCACTGGCCTTTTTTCCTTTTTATACACCAGTCATCACTATAACTTATCGTTGATGCGATCATACGCCACTAACCTGTTGTTTGTGCGAGCAGTCGTCGCAGTGCACGTGCTGGATGAGCCTCCCACAGCTGGAGTAGGCGCGGCCGACAATCTCTGTTGTCATCACGCACACCTGACACTTCATCAGGTCGTGACGCATCAGAAAACGGATGGCGTCGTTGAAACCCTGCGTCGCAAAGACGGACATTCTCATTTGCGTGGCCGGTAGCTGTGTATTCACTAAATAATCTACTGGGTGTTGCGCCGACCTAGCCGGCGTAGATAGAGGCCTCGCAGGTTACTGCATTTCAACGACAAATCACGGGCGGCTGTGTAGCGTTCGCAACACCTATTGAAACAAGCCTTTTACGTCTGCCGAGCACTAGCATGACGAACAACAGACATTTTCAGTGTCAATATACCTACCTTGAATTTGAAATGTCAGCAAGCAAAGGCGCTCAACTCCTTCATCTCACCTGATTGGCCAGATCGGAGAGCGTCTCGGGCGACGGCGGGTACATGATCATAAACACCCGCATAAAGTTCTCCGGCGTCAGCTCGATCCGCGTGTTAGCCGCATCAATCTGAGGAAAACAAACGACGTGTCATTGAGACTGCCACCGATGCGTGCGCACAGTTATCACTAGCTATTTCGTTAACTAATTTATTTTGCCCGACATCATACCTTGCTTGTTTATAGCATATGCCAAAACGTTTTCAGCAGGGCAAAGTATGTCGACATGTGTGGTATATTATCGTTAAGAACATCCCGTATCAGAACCGGCAGCCAAATATCGACCTCAAGCGCCCACACTGCCTCTATACTAACCACGATGAGGCTGAGCGTGCGGTCGCGCGGGCAGATGTCCGCCTCGCCACAGAACGGGCTGACAGTGATGGTGCGGCTGTCCAGCGTCGGCAGGTTGTTGCTATAGCAACCGTCCATGTAGCGGACGCCGTCGAAGCGCGGAGGCCGCCAGCCGGAGAACGCCGGGATGAAGGCAGTGCACAGCAGCGCCTGTGGAGAGGGCAGTGGTTAGTCGGTTCGGCTCTTTACCCTGGACCAGTGACACAATCTGTACATTTGTCGGCTAAGTTAACTCTGACTCGGGGCATCGGTCAAGCTGAGGGCACGCTCAGTCGTATGAATGGTGAGCCAGCCGCAGAACAGACAACCACGTCGAAAGAACAGCGAAGGCTGCCGCACAAGGCCTGCAAAGTGCAAACCTTGCTGAGACAAGGACACGTCATATTGAAACATAAGTGACGACTATGGAGCAAGTAATTTTCCGTGAGGAAATTTCCAATGTGTATATTTTCTTCAGCAGCATCGTTTTGAGAAGCTCTTCTTGATCTTATATGTAAGTCCAACATTGCATTTACGGAGGAGGCGAGCAGAAACATGATTGACGGCTGTGAATACACGTACCGTGATGAGCTCATCCTTGGACTCGAAGTGAGACAGGATGGCGTTTTTGCCGTCCTCGAGACGCGTCACCGAGATGTGGAGACGTCCCGAGCACAACTCGTGGGCGTTATCCGGCAGATTCTGAAACGATCCGCCAATCACGTATGATATCAACGGCCTATCACTTCGGTTACAAGCACACACAGACACAACTAACACTCCCGTACAGAAAGAACTAGATCATAATTCATAAGAAACTACACATTATAAAGGCAGTTCCACTACAGTTGATAGTTGTTTATCTACGATCGACTCGCATGATAGCCGCCGGCAGTCAAAGAGATTGCATGCCGCTCCGTGTCACTAAATGGTCACAATGGCTACAATTACCGTGGCTTGATGGGGCCATCCGGCCTGAGCTCAGACAGAATCACCCAACAGAACACACCGAAAATGACTCTGGCCCAATGATGTTATATCAAGGATGCTAAGCTTGCCGAATTACGGTCCACGGGCGCGTCGGCTACCAGGTCATTTGTGAAATACATCCAAAAATCCAAGGTACTACGGTGGCCATCAAATGGCCTGTTGCTCAGGCCTGTTGGCAGCGGCAATGGGGAGCGCCGTTGAACCCCGAGGTCAATGTCCCATGTGTCCACACTCCACACCCGTTCTTACCTTCTGCAGGCCGGCGCGCAGCATGACTGGCACCGAGACGAACGGGCTGAACGGACCGCCGATGTGGTCCTGGATGACCCGCGAGACGGCGACCAGATCCGACATGATCTCACCTGTGAAATACAGACACATGTACTGACACATACTGATACGACGAAACCGACATGTACTGACACATACTGACACGACGAAACCGACATGTACTGACACATACTGGCACACACCAACTCATACTGACGCACAGCCGACACAAAGTGACACCGAAACACACTGAAACATAGAGGCATAAATTGACTTTACTGAAACGAACTGACATATACCGATACCGACGCATACCGGAACATACCGAATACACTGCCACACAATGACACAGACAACTTAACAAACGGATAGATTCACTACAGGACACGGACACTAAAGGCATCATCGATTGTTTACACACGATTCTTTGCCGCGCCTTGAATGCGTCACGGGAGGGCAACACACCCTTCGACCATAGTTGACCATTCGCAGATCGGCCCCAGTTCACCAAGGCCGCTGCGTCTAGCCGTCAGCGGGGACGTCTCAATGTAAACACCGTCTGCAGTGTCCGCACGCTTGTCAGGGGCGATTAGGTATGGTTGTCTTTCCATAATATTTGTGAGTTTTATAACATTTAGAGTTTAGACATTTGTCTACAAAAGAAACTGACGAGAGGTTCTAGTTCATTCTTAAAAGATAATTTCTTTATTGTCTGGTCTGACAAAATGGGGCAAGTTTTGACAGACTGTTTTGTTTGGGTTTTCGGGACACACGGGTTGCAGAGGTCACAGGCGTCCATCTGGCAAACTGTAGTAAAAGCCGAGTCTGTGAGCAGGGGTCCCTGTGTACAGTGTACTATGTAGTGCAACGACCGTATACCGTCGCTCGTCACTCACTGAGACTAGCGTTACAGATGAGAGCGGCCGCCGCGATGGCGCCGGCCGACGCGCCCGCGATCCGGTTCTGCAGCAGCTCCGGGCAGTAGCGGCTCATGCAGGCCGCCACGCCGATGTGGTACACGCCGAGGAAGCCGCAGCCGGCGAAACTGAGGTTCATCTGGGACAGTTTGTCGGCCACGGATGGTCGGGAGGCAGACGAGTGCAGCTGGCGACGCGGCAGCCGCGGCCGGCTCGGTCCCGGCTCCGAGCCGGCGGCGAACTGCACCACGGCGGCGCGGCGCACCACGCGCTGGTCACCACCGCCCAGCGTCATGGCGGCCGCGGCGGGGGGTGGTCGGGCTCCGTCCACCTGTAGGACGGGGGACGATCAGACACATATTACACATATAGCACAGCAATAACAATAGCCGGGCTCCGTCCACCCGACCATATGCCGTGCCTGCCCCCCCCCCCCCTCCTTCGAACCTGGCCGTGCCGTTTGTGCACCTTTAACCACTGCTATTAGTCCACCTAGTCCCACTTCCAGTTGTCGAGGTTAGGGTAACATTCTTAGAGAATGTGATGCGTCAACATGCGGGTAGGTATGCAGGGCTGACTGCTTTGTCCTACCTGTATCGTCTCATTCACTAGCTAGGTTCGCCCGGTTACCGCACCCATAAAGATAAGTGCCGCTATGTTTTGTCCCACTTGCGACACCTGTATACACCTACACGGTATCAGTCAGTGCCCTGTGGCGTGATGTGTCATGACGCGGTCAGTGCCCGACCTGTCTCCAACGCGACTGTGACTTTTTGTTTTACCTCTGTGGCTTTGTGTGAGCTATATCTCTTTATGTGGCTGATCTACCGGTGTTCCCTGACCCTCGCCCATGTCGTAGCGAACCTGGGTTTCAGCCTTGCTAACGCGTGCGACGCCGTTCTCAGGGCACAGTCTCTGTCAAACGAAGAGCTATTTCTAACGAGCTCGCTTGGCAGGGACCAAGCCCCCCATGAGGCGGCGCAGCTAACGTTACGGGCTGACCTCACATTTTTGCGTTCGTGTTGGCACCACTACTGGTATAAAACTGTGACGTGTTACAAAAATACAGGCAGTGCTTCGGATCGGCTCTTTGAAGGAGGACGGAGCACTGCTCCTGAATAGAGGTAAGGGGGCCGCTCCCCTCGCTACTACAAAATGGTAGCAGCGGTAGGATACATGTTTAACTAGCATGTTTAGGTTAATCTTGTTTTAGGTTCTATATTTTCTTGCCCACCTCCCGCCCATTTTATTATCATTATTAGGTATCACTTGTTTTTTTTTTTCTGGGAATTTTGTTTATAGGTCGTAATCATGCCAAATGACCCAGAATTACAGCCTTTGCCACCAAACCTTAATATTCACCAAATAGGTTCATTTATTCCCAATTTTGATGGATCATTTCCTATTCAGGATTTTTTCACAGAGGTCAAGGAAGCAAAAGCGTTAGGTAACTGGCCTGATGTTGTGGCGATCAAGGTCGCAAAATCGAAGTTACAGGGGCACGTGGCGGACATTGTCCGTACTCGTATGGCACTTGCAAATGCTCAAACTCTGGAAGAATTTGAGACCCTACTTTTAAATGCCATGCACACGGACAGACCAATAGCAACCCGGCTACAGGATCTAATGACGTGCACACAGCACCCCGCAGAAACTGTAGACCAATTCGCCAGTCGGCTTAGGGCCAAGGCGAAATCTCTAACTGAGTGGGACGCTACTCCGGAAACCCAGCAGCTGAAAAACAAAACCGTGGCGGCTACTTTTGTAAAAGGGCTGAAGCCAGCCCTCCGCCAGCTGGTTCTGCCTCACAACCCTGCTGATTTCGAATCAGCGATAACCCTTGCCAGGACACACGAGATGAACAGCTCCTTTATGCCCGACACTAACTCCGCATCGGCAGCACAAGCAACTACGAGCGTTATGGACGAGCTCCAACGCCGCGTAGCCAGCCTCGAGCTCGCTGCTGCACAACCGACCTATCGTGGTCGTGGCCGATTCCCCTCCAACACGGCCAGCAGAGGTGGCTCGGCACCGCCCAGCCGTGGTCGTGGCCGTGGCCGTGGAAACGGTCGAGGCCGTGGCTATTTTGGGCCACCCCGTGCTCCTCCCCTATACCAACGACGGCCACCTTCTGAGCACCGCTGTCAATGCGTGTGCCAGAATTCAGGCCACTACCAATATTCACCTTGTGAATGGTCTGAGCGCCGCAGCTCGCCGCGACCAAGGTCGCGTGAGCGTCGGGAACGGTCCAGGTCACCATCTTTCTCACCTGACCGGAGTCGTTCTCGAAGGTACAGATCCTCTCGTTCCCCAAACCAGAACCGCTCGCAACGCTAGACGGTGGAAAAGCGTTTGCGAGCGTTGCATACGATCAAGCTGAAAACCTTATTTCTCCACCAATACTGAAAGATATCTATGTTTGTGAGACAAAAGCATCTGCTTTGTACGATACTGGATCCAGTGTCAGCCTGATCAGTCGAGATTTTTTCCGAACTTGCAACAGTGAGAGTTCTCTCGGACATCCGTCAGTATCTATTCTTGGCGTTACCGGCTCTGCAATCGAAATCGTAGGTGAATGTTTTATTACCATTAACATTCTTGGTCGTGATATCAAACATAAATTTTATGTCACCGAAAAGCAGCTTTCTTTTGGTTGTGATATTATTTTAGGCATCGATTTCATCATAAAACATCAGCTGATGTACAGTCCAGCATCAAAGGAAGTGACGTTCCTTCAGCCATGTGCGACATCTTCGATTCGGTCGAATGTTCCAACATCAAAACGGCTGAGTCCAAAGCGAAGAAAGCGAGTCAGATTCTTGTTAGGGACAACGGACGATTCAAAACCCATCACTTCTGATAGTCCGATATATACTGATGATGTCAACGAGGCGTTTATCATCGACGATGAAAAGAGTTTTCCACTTTTTGTATCTCAATCAGTTGAAGTTCCACCATTTTCGGAACATTTTGTTCCGATGAAACTTCCGCGTAACTTTACAGCAGACGAACGTCCTTATTTTATTCAGGGTCATGTTGAACAGTCAGTTACAGGAATCCATGTAGCACGAGCTATCGCATTCTTTCGAAAGTCACGAGTGTCCATACGTGTAGCTAACATAACGTCTGAACCTATCTTGCTCCGCAAGAATGTCCGTCTTGCTCAGTTCAGCCCCACTGCAGCTACAGTCAGGGAGAGTTCTGTGCAATCAGATCATGCCTTGCACGCTGCAGCAGCTTCAGCTGAGAGCAAGATCACAGTCGACGACTTCAAAATTGATCATGTTCCAGAACCATATCGATCCCAGTTACGTGACCTACTGATGGATCATATTCAAGCATTTGGAAAAGATTTGAAAGACATTAAATTTACAGATGTTTACGAGCATCATATTGAGTTGTCTGATGCAACTCCTGCTTTCAAACATCCCTATCGGTTACCTTTTGCTCATCGTGATGTTGTCAAAACAGAAGTAGACAAATTATTAGCTAGCGGTATCATTGAGCCTACCGTAAGCTCTTACAATGCACCTATCATTGTCGTTCCGAAATCGTCAGGAGGATATCGACTAGTTTCTGATCTGCGCTTGCTCAATCAGAAAATTAAAGACGATCGTTTTCCAAGTTCGTTCGCGTCTGACGCTATTGATCAATTAGCTGGATGTACACTATTTTCTACTCTTGATCTTCTCAGTTCATTTCACCAGGTCCCATTGACACCATCTTCACGTCCGTATACAGCATTTACGGCAAACAATCAGCATTATTGCTATACTTCTGTTCCATTTGGATTGAAATCAGCTACTTCTGCTCTGAACAGAGCTTTGCAAATAGCACTCTCTGGTTTACAGGGCATTGACGCATTTCTATACGTAGATGACATTTTGATAGCTAGTCGCAACTATTCTGAGCATTTAGAAAAGTTGGAAAAGGTATTAACTCGTCTCGAAGAAACGCGTTTTGTTCTGAAACCCTCAAAATGTTCGTTCATGCAACATGAAATCAAGTACTTGGGTCACATCATTGACGAAAATGGTGTTCGTCCTGACCCGTCCAAAATTCAAGCGGTACAAGATTTTCCGACGCCTTCTACAGTCAAAGAAGTGCGATCATTTCTCGGTTTTACAAACTACTATCGCAAACACATCCCAAATATGTCTGAATTAGCGGCACCACTTATCAATCTTACAAGAAAGGATGTTCCATTTGAATGGACTAACCAATGTGAAGAAAATTTCAAGGCCATCAAGCGATCATTGGTGAACTTTCCTGTTTTACGTTTTCCAGATTTTACCAAAGAGTTTTATCTGTCAACTGACGCGAGCAATGTTGCAATTTCAGCAGTTCTAGAGCAAAAACATGGAGACGATCTCCACCCTATTGCGTTCATTAGCCGTCAGCTCAACAAAGCTGAACGAAATTATTCTACAACAGAAAAAGAATGTTTGGCTATCTATTGGGCCTTCGAAAACTTGCGGTGTTACCTTCTAGGTCACTTCACTCATGTCTTCACAGACCACTTGCCATTGCGTGGTATCTTCAAAGGTACCAATCCAGGTGGTCGTTTAACCAGATGGTCCCAAAAGTTAAATGTCTTTGATTTCGAAATACATTATCTACCGGGACGTAAGAATGTCAAAGCTGATGTTCTTTCTCGAACAAGAACTGATTCACAGTCCAAAGATGACTTTCTTGGTTACGTCTCTAGTACTTCCCTAGAAAGTGAAGGGTGGACTCGAGAGAAAATCAAATTTGAACAAAGAAAAGATCCAACTTTAGTACCTATCATTGATCAGTTATCAGGAAAAGAAACGGGACGCAAAGATTTGCAACTGCATGAGGAAATATCTGCATATTTTCTTAGTTCAGATGGTTTGCTTTATCATGTTTCTCCGCAAAAGAACAAGACTCGCCCATACATAGATCAGATGGTAGTTCCACAGCCAATGAAAATGAATATTATTCAAAAGTTTCATGATACTATTTGGTCCGGTCATCTCAAGTTCGACAAAACTTTACAAAAGATACGACTGTCATTCTTCTGGAAAGGCATGTACACAGATGTGAAAAGTATGTAGAGTCCTGCCGTCTTTGCATGGAAAGACATGCCCACAGGCATATCAAACGTGCTCCTCTTCAGCGAACACTCGTTCCGGAGTACCCGATGCACATTGCATCATTTGATATAGTCGGACCACTCAAGAAAAGTTACCGTGGTAACACGCACTATCTCAGCTGGATAGATCATTTCAGTAGATATCCTGAAGCTGTTCCCTTAACCGAAACAACTACTGAAGCAGTAGCACAGGCATTCGTCGAGCAGATCATTTCTCGTCATGGCATTAGCAAAATTTTGCTTAGCGATCGTGGATCCAACTTTACGTCAAAGCTAATGCAATCTATTTGCAAACTTTTAGGAGTCAAACGTATTTTCTCGTCACCACGCCATCCTCAGGCAAATGGACGTGTCGAGCGACTTCATTCGACAATCAGCAACATTTTATCTCAGTTTGTGGACTCTTCACAAAGAAACTGGGATGAAGCACTACCACTTGCTCTTTTTGCGATTCGGTCATCAGTCAATCGTTCGACTGGAGACACTCCAGCCCAAATTTTCACTGGGCGTGATCCTATCCTACCACTGGATGTGGATACACAAGCTCCTTTTGATCCGTTTGCATCCATCGATTCTTATCGTGACATCCTCCACAAACACTTGGATTCACTGCACTCCGTCGTGCGTGCAAACAATGAATCCGCTATACTGGCACAGGAGAAAGCTCACCCCACTCAGGACAAAACCTCATCCTTCCCACCGAATTCCCTTGTATATCTCCACAATCCGCAGTTCAAGCCCGGTTTGACTAGAAAGTTTCAGAAAATCAACCGAGGCCCTTATCGTGTGCTGTATATGACGAGCCCTGTCAATGCTCGTATACAGCACGTGCACAATGCTGATGACGTGCAGCATGTTCACGTCGACCGTCTGAGACGTTTCTCTGAGCAACCCCAGCTCACGTCTCCAGACGACCATCTCAACAGCAGCGAACCTGACGGAGGTTCCGTAGGCAAAGCCACAGAGAGCAGTAATACTGATGCGAATATGCTCATTACGCTGCCGGCTACGCCAGGGACTTTCGCAGGACCCCGCTTCGCTGGAGAGAATGGTCCCGCAGACAATGCGGACAACAATGTGCCAGCGGAAGCTGCAGCACCAAACATACAAGAGGGCGATCTCGCCATGATTGAGGAACTTTGGAACGTTCCTGCGGCCCCTGCGGTAGACCAAGGTCACCGACAGGACGCGCCGGCCTACAACTTGAGGCCGCGCAATGCTTTAAGGCCGCCAGAAAAATATCGCCAATGAGCGAAGAAAAATAGCTAAAAAGCTATCTGCGCAAAAAATGCATGCAATATATAAATAGATAACGCGTTATCCTTGTATATAATCCTATTCAGAGAATATGTAGTGTAAACTGAATGTGTGAATATGAAAATGAAATGAATGAAATGTCATGAGAATGAAATGTCAATGTGAAAATGCAATGAATGCAATGTTTAAGATGTACACTCAAATATGCAAGTTTATATAATTCAATGTAAAATTTTTACCGTTTATTAACATATTTAGATGTGTTCTGTTTCAGGTTTATCGAGAGTTGTGGTACAGTCATGCAGCACCCATTACGAAATTATTTCTTATTTTGATTTACCATTAGTCAACAGAAATATCTTCACTTAAGGTTTTATAGCCGAATGTCAAAATGACGTATGATCGGTACGTCGAGCCCAACGAACGTACTATACGTACATTCCATTAGTTGCTCTGTCACTAAGTGCTCGCCGGAAAGTAATAACTGTGTTCAAAAAGCTTACGTCCTAAGGGATTTGAATGGCAGAACACAACAATATACTACAACCGGCAGATTATTTTGGACAACGCTATAGTGACTTAATGGGATGCCTGCTGCATGTGACTGTACCCAACAAACTCGCTACACGAGATGCCGTTATGAGGAGGTGTTCCCCGTACTATTCCCTTCGTCAATTCGACGAATTTCTTCGGCCAACTCTACTGTTCAACGAGGTGAAAATATCCATTACCCGTTCCATATTAACTGTCCTCGAATATCCCATAGAATCAGTTGTGGATTGGTATTGTATGCCCCATAACTGCCAAAACAATCCTTATGTGCCAAATCCATTTTGCTCTTCAGGTAAAATATCCGTATCCGTCAACGCCATCTATCTCTCATCCCGTTCAATACAATTAGATTTTAACAGCTCTCTCGTGACTCACGTATTTTACTCATCACATCCATGTCACGCTGAGCGTGTCTGTATATTATACGATAGAATAGTCAATATTGCATCGTAACATTTAGATTCCCTGACTCTTTAACCAATTTAACGTAACGAAACCTCTGCCCATTCTACAATTATATTGCACTTCCGTGGTCTTTTAGATTTTACTATGACCACAATCCCTTGGCACTCAAATGATCTCTTCTTATTTTGGGCAATGGACACGAGGGCATCTATACTCATCTTTAATGCACTATCAACGTCTTTCGCCGTTGACTGACTACTACACCATCCGGATATCTCGTCACTATCGACCGGCACCAGGCAGTCACCGTGGCACGCCGCCACGTGTGACCATTGCCAACGCTGTCAACACTATGCCATCTCTATGTGACACTTCATTGTTAATCTTCAAGTTCATTATCAGCAAGTTCTTCTAATTGCATATTTGTGTACTGTTTCCAAGACTTTGTTTTGAACTATTGCTGAAGCAGCACATCACAAAGCTGCCATTTATATTGTAAGCTTGATTGGCTACATTACAACTTGTATGTATGTATGTGTACTGTTTGTGACAAGTGTATGAAAGCATATTTGTATGTGTGTAAGCTTACAAAATCTTGTTTCACTTCTCAGGCCACCGACCAAAATACGAGTTCTGCACGGTGTTATGCTGCCAACCTCCATGAGTCACAACGGACCGTCATACACATGCACGCAACAGACCGAGCTCCAGGCCTCCGCCGCCAGCCACGGGCCCAGGCCGGCAGCGGAGACGTCGAGATTCAGCGAGTCGAGATCTGGTACATACCACGTCTTCAACACGACCCTGGCGCCACGCCCACGATATCCACACGGGCGCGGTTCACTCATCGCCGAACAAGACGGGTCGTCTACTGCCTCTGGCGCCGCAACACACGCATCCTATCGTGTGCGGCCAGGCTGAACAGAAGAGGATCACCAGCAACATGATCCAGTACCAGCGACATCGACTCGCGACGTCTGCTACATCTCTGCTCGCACTTCGCCTCAACGAGGTTCGTGCTCTGCCTCAACTAGCTCTGGCCTGCCAAAACTAGAGTCCAGCGAAAAGGACCACATCAAGAGATCCCACCACACGAAGGGACATCAATCGCAGGCTGGCCAGAGGCTGCAACCGTCAGAGACCTGAATCTTCAAGTGCAAGAGATTCGAGTAGCAGACCGCGCACAAAGACGTCCATCTCGGTCATGTGTTGTTATTTTGACGCCTCCTGTTGTCGGCTCATGGGGGAGGGTAAGATAATGTCGTAGCGAACCTGGGTTTCAGCCTTGCTAACGCGTGCGACGCCGTTCTCAGGGCACAGTCTCTGTCAAACGAAGAGCTATTTCTAACGAGCTCGCTTGGCAGGGACCAAGCCCCCCATGAGGCGGCGCAGCTAACGTTACGGGCTGACCTCACATTTTTGCGTTCGTGTTGGCACCACTACTGGTATAAAACTGTGACGTGTTACAAAAATACAGGCAGTGCTTCGGATCGGCTCTTTGAAGGAGGACGGAGCACTGCTCCTGAATAGAGGTAAGGGGGCCGCTCCCCTCGCTACAACACCCATCCCTCGCTCCCAGGGGCAGGGTCACGAGGCCCGGGCTCACGCAATTATCGGCCGATGTATGGCTCCCGCCAGGCGGATGGGAATACCGACCAATATCTTTAGTCTCCGCGCGGATTCAGCAGGTAGCAACCGCATCTAAGCCAAGGCTGCGAGTTAACCGTTTTTCAGTGGCTTCGAGCAAGACTCCGGCTTCAGTTTCACAAAACCGACTCAGACTCCGAATTTACGCACTACACACTAAGCACTGCAGGGATCGACAGAACTGACATGTAGAGGGTGGAGTCTCAGTCAAACGTTGCGTAAGGATATACATTATACATGGAACCGTTTCAGGTGACCAGTCTGACACAGCCCACCCCGCTCACCAATTTCATCTGGCCTGTGATGTGACCACTGGCCACCGAAGGTACCTAGGCTTCCGTCGGAAATAAATAGCGAGCGGCAAATCGGTTCGGACCCTCCGTTCCGTCGTTTCCATCCTCAGGATCCTGAAATCCTTCTCCTCCACGCCGCAACCCCCACTCCGGGCCGGACAGGCACCATTGTCTCATGCGGGCTGCTCCCGAGGGAGCGCACCCCGTAGCCGGGTGCAGGGTGCTTGGGGGGGGGGGCTGGTCGGCTTGTCCATTCGGACGGGCTCAGCCCCGGCGACTCTCTAGGCCTCTAGGGTGTCTGCCCAGACCAATGTCTCCCCCTAATTCCTATCATCCTTCCGGCTCTGAAATGGTCTTGTCAGACCGAAAGGGCCTAACCCAACAAAACAAAACAAAATCGGTTCGGTCCGGGTTTCAGTTTTCACCACCGTACCGATTGTCTGTTGTTGTTGTTGTTGTTGTTGTTGTTCCCCCTGGGCCCTCCTTACGGAGGACCATAGCCGAGAGGCTCCCTATGACGAAGGTAGCCGGCCTCCAAGGCAGCCACCAGGTCGGCGTCCCGCAGCCGCGACGGGTCAACGTAAATGCTGCCAGTTAGCCGCAGGCGGGCGCCAGCGAGGGCCGGGCAGCGGAGCAAGACGTGCTCCGGCACGTCCGCCTCCTCCCGGCACACGGCGCAGAGCGCCGCGGGGCACCGCTTATCGGGGCACTGCAGGCATGCCACGGAGGGGTGGCGGCCGATCCGGTGCAGGTATTGGAGCGAGCGGCCCCAGTGGCCCGCCCTCAACTGGTGCACCGAGATGGCGGCCTCTCGGTCCTCTCCGGGGATGGGGAGCGGCAGGGTGCTCCCGAAGATAGTCTTAAAAAAGGAGTCGGGCCAGTTTTCGCGCCACTGACGTGTGGCCATCCGATGAACTGCCCGTGTCAGGGACCGAGCGTCCGAGGGCACGGCGCCCTGGGGCAGGGTGGCCGCTTGTTTGGCCAGGGCGTCAGCGCGCTCGTTCTCCGCCAGCCCGCAGTGAGCAGGGACCCACTGCAGGGTCACCTGCCGGCGCTCGGCAATGTCCAGCAGCGTCCTCCAGATCGCCGCGCCGATAGTGGTGGTCTGGGCGGCCGCTCCCGCGCTGAGGAGGCTCAGGGCGGCTCGTGAGTCAGAGCACGCCACCAGCGGGGCGGGGGACGACTCATCCCGGACTCGCTCCAGCGCCGCCCTCAGGGCGAACAGCTCCGCGCGGGTGCTGGAGCAGAGGCCTCCCGCCGCCACCTCCACCTCGAGAGTCTCCCCCGACGCAGTGAAGATGACGGCGCCGCCTCCTCCTCGCCTGACCCCAGCGTCCGCAGAGCCGTCGGACCAAATCCACGTGGCCTGGGCTGGGAGCGCCGCCAGGTGCTGCCGCGCGGCCTCTCGTCGCGTCTCGTTGGAGGAGGCTCGACGGCCGCCGGGTCCCACGTCCAGATTGAAGGCGATCGGGCGGCAGGTTGTCCACGGGAGGAGGGGAACCTCGAGGCGCGGCTCCACCGTCACTCCCTCGGCGCCCGCCTCGATCAGCGCCGATCGCCCCAGTTGTCGCCAGCCAGTGGTAGACCGCAGTCGGGTGGGTGGGTCGGCCTCCGCGACGCGGCGAAGAGGGTCGTCCTCCGGCAGGGCGAGCGCTCGGCAGAGCGTTCGCGCGGCCAGCGTCTTCCTGGTGGACCATGCTGAAGGGATGCCTGCCTCGGCCAGCAGGGGATCCCTGGGGGTGGACCGTGGGCATCCGGTCACCACCCGGGCGGCCGCCAGCAGCTCGCGCTCCACCAGCTGGACGTGTGACGGGGACGCGGCCGGGAGCCAGGCACCCGCCGCGTATTCAAGGGCTCCCCGGACATACCCGTTCGCGACTGTCCTGAGCTGCGCCTCGCGGAGACCCCAGGTCCGGCCGGTCATCCTCCGCAGCTGTGCCGTCCGCGGCCGGACCTTCCGCCGCAGAGAGTCGCAGTGGTCTTTAAAGCAGGGATGCGGAGCCGTGGAAATTTCAGACGGCTCCGGCTCCGGCTCCGGCTCCGGAGAAAAAAATCGGCTCCGGCTCCGGCTCCGGCTCCGGGTGAAATGTCATGGCGGCTCCGGCTCCGGCTCCGGCTCCGAGTAAAATGATTCGGCTCCGGCGGCTCCGGCTCCGGCGGCTCCGGCTCCGGCTTCTACTCAGTACATCACCTATGCGATCAATTAAATACGGGTGGAAGAAAAAAGGCGATGGGATTGGTACACGTTGCTTCTGTATTTGTATAACAAGGCTATTTTGAATACCACATTGTTTTACGCCTTGTACTGTCAAACCGAACTAGGTAAATAATTGTTTCCTCTTAAGAAAAGGAGCCGGAGTCGCCCCCTTTTTTGACGGCTCCGGCTCCGGCTCCGGCTCCGGGCTATATTGTTTCACGGCTCCGGCTCCGGCTCCGGCTCCGGGCAAAATATGCCGGCTCCGGCGGCTCCGGCTCCGGCTCCGGCTCCGGCTCCGCATCCCTGCTTTAAAGTGTAGAAGTCTATCGAAGGTCACCCCCAGACCTTCGATAGACTTCTGATAGTCTACCGATTGTCTCATTAGTCGAGACACTCTCCACGGCACCAGCGCCACGAGGAAGGAGAGATGGGATCATGGGAACGTCGGTCCGCGATTTACCGCTTTCCCAGTGGAGGACGCTGGAGCCTGGAAAACAACCGCTGGGGGCATAGCGCGCTAGAACATGGCTCCATAGAGAAAATCCTACGCTCGGGTGTTCGACCCATTTCAGAGCTGTCCGGATCCTCTCATGAGTGGCATGGGTCCTTCAGAGACAAGGCAGTGGACAGAAACGTTCGAGAGGATCGATAAGCATCGTCACGTGACGGCGAGCATGGAGTCGCCTGACAAAGCATGACCCAACAAAGTCCGTCTCGCGATCGAGACGAGCCAGGGCAGAGGCATCAAAACTATCAGGACTGCTGTAGAACTCGCACATCATTAGAATAAGAAGCTGGGCCGATAAGTAGACCCTCCGAGATCAATGGAAGTCGTCTCAGGACTGTGTTGAGACATCCCAATCCCGAGTAGTTCGCCAAGGACTTGTTGGTCATTTGGTAGACTCTTATGATGTCTAACAGTCCTCTGAGGGACTAGGAGTCCTTTCAGAACTGGTGAGAGGTACAGTAAGACTTCTGGGCTGGATGACCGTTCTGGGTCCTCTGATAGTCCTCTGAGGACTATTTTGGGTCCTCCGAGGACTGTTGTGAGTCCTCAGACAGCCGTTGTGGGCAGGGCAGCGGAGTCGGAGTCGGAGTATGAGTCGAAGTCGTTGCGAGCCGACAGTGCTGAGCGGAGTCGGAGTCGATTTTGGAAAACCGGAGTCGAGTCCGAGTCACCGACAATGCATCGACTCCGCAGCCCTGGCGGGGTCAGAGTGTAAGTCGGTCGGGTTCGACAGTTTTGCCCGGAATCGAAATCGGAGTTGATTTGTGACAGTCAGAATCGGCGTCGGAGTCACCGATAATCCATCGACTCTACAGCCCTGGTTGTGGGTCTTCAGAGGCTCAGCGTACGATTGCGGATCCACGGAGGACTGTAATGGGACGTGGGTCCTCCGAGGACTGTTGCGGAACGTGGGTCCTCAGAGGACTATTGCGGGACGTGGGTCCTCCGAGGACTGTTGCGGTTCCTCGGAAGACGGCTATGGAGTACGTATCCTATGGAGTAGAGGAGTATAACTGCTGAGTCCTTTGAGGATTCTTGGTCCTCTGAGGACTGTCGTGGGCCCCCTGAGGACAGTTGTGGCTCCGCTGAGGACTACTATAGGCCCTCAGAGGACCGTTATATAGGTCCTCTAAGGACTGTTTCCGGTCCTCAAAGTACCAACATCTGCCGAGTAAGGGCAGGCATAACCTATTCCCCTGTAACTCACCTTGCTGAAAATGTTGATTGGTATCAGTTATCCTCACTTCCCTGGATCTTCGCTATCAATCACACTGCGTCCGCGCCCACTCTTCTCAGTCGCAGTCGCGCCACTGCCGCCTGACAGCCGGGTCCGATTTACGCACCACACCGACGCCTCGGAGTCGGCCGACCGAGGCCGCGGCCGCTGATTGGTCGGGCGGTGGGCCACGTCTATGACGTCACAGGCGGCGCGCCGCCGCCGAGCCGGCCGCTTTATCGGGGAGGAGCGGTCCAAGGGTCGGACGGCGGACGGCAGACGCGTGACAGTGCGTGTCCCGACTGTTTTATCTCTGTGGTCACATCTTGAGGATGTAGGATTGGCGTATCTGTGGGGAAACGAGGAGTTAGTCCCATGTAGGCTGGGTTGACAACACCCTTTACCCAATAGCCCCCTCCCCCCCTCACACACACATCAGAGCCCCTCTACTCTAATGATCATGTGATTCCAGTCATAAACTGAAACGTCATTCTCAGAAAAAGGAACCAAAGCCTGTGTGAGCCAGATACATGAATCATTTTTAACAAATCTCTGGCGCAAGGATGACTACGCATGCATTACCATTCACCAATGACATGCTGGTCCAGTGGCCAGTTTGATCAAGTTTGCTCGACAGTGACGCCCTCTAGCTGGGCGTAAAAACGCCCTCACATCTGAACCAAGAAGCCTCGGGGTAGGTTCAAAGGGGAACAAAGCAAAAAGCCTTCAACAAAAAATGACAAAAAAAGAAGTACAAATAATCATGAGGTCGCTGATGAATAACTTCCCTGGTAGTCGAGATTCGGGTCGTCCATCCGTCACGCCTTGCCTTCTTTCGTCACACACGGAGCGAGGTACACAGATTTATTGAAGCCGACGTGGGGCGGCGCGCCGCTGGGTCCGGTGTGTCCGGTCGAGAGGGCAGCGGAGCCGTGGTGAGACGGTGAGAGCGGGTCTCAGTGGACTGGTCGGGTCTGAGACCACTGGCCGGCCGGGTCTTAGACCACAGACCGGTCGGGTCTCAGACCACTGACTGGTTGGGTCTCGACTCACAGACCGGCCGAGTCTAGACTCACAAGACCAGTCGGGTCAGGACTCTCAAACCGGCCGAGTCTGGACTCACGGACTGGTTGGGTCTCGACTCGCAGGCCGGCCGGGTCTAGACTCATATGCCGGCAGGATCTGAGTTCGGGGACTGGCCGGGTCTCAGACCACAGACCGGCCGGGCTTGAACCCTCAGATCAGCCGGGTCTCAGCCCGGACCAGCAGTGTCTCAGCCCGGCGCAGCTAGTGATTCCGGACAGTCTCAGTCCTTGCAAAGCTCCGCCAGCCGTCGTCATCAGACCACTCCCCCGCCGCCCCGCGGACGCGCCTGCCGTGCTAAACGGCGCCCTTCAGCCGCCGTCCACTCCTCAGTGGCCTGAAGTAGTCGCCGCTGCGCTCCGGGCATATATCCATAGTCATATCCTAATACAATATATCCACATAAGCCAATAACAAATCAAAACAATAACCAACACTATACCGCCCTCGACGACAGGAGTGTGTATGTGTGTGTGTATACGATCATACGCTCGCGCAGACAGGAAGCATGGAACTATCCGCTCATACTGGGGAGATATACGGCCAACAGGCTGAAGGGTACAAGAGGGTAAAGCTGGGATTGTCGACAACAGCACTACATTGTCACCGGCAGATAGCAAGGAGAGTAGGGGGCGAGGACGACACGGATACAGGGTGCCACGGCGGTACGGGTTAGGGGAGGGGACAGCTGGAGGGGCAGAGGGGGGTGGTGGTGCTCCTCTCGGCCCGGCGCGCGGCTCAGACAGTCACACACGCGGCGCCGGGCGGCCGGCGCGCGCCGCACCACCGAGGGGCGCGCGGCTGGAATGGGGCAGCGGCGGCGGCGGCGGCAGAGACCGGCCGCGGCCGCCCGGGGGACGCAGACGTCACTAGAACTGGTCGACCAGCAGATCACAGAGCACCTGGGACGTCTTCTCCTTGCTGGAGCGGATCGTCAGCCGGTACATCTGCCGCGGGGACACAGAGGCGTCAGGAGAATCGCCCAACGGCGACCGGAAATAAATCCTCCGCAGATATCAATGAGCCATCGATTAATTATCACCACATAATTCATCAATAAAATGGGGGTAAAAACATACCGTGAAGGCATAACTGCTGATCTCTTACCAAAAAGTGTTCGTTCACAGATTGTTTACAACAGTCAGCGACTCAGTAACAAAAACGTCAGTAATGGCAGTCTTATCTGACACGACAGCGCCGGCCAGCTCACCTGCGCCTGTTTGTTGGGCTCGAGCCGCAGCAGCGAGCCCACCTGCACGCCGCGCCCGTGCAGGATGCCGGCACACACAAAGTTCTCCGGGTTCGGGTCGACGCCCTCCAGCAGCTGCATGCCGAAGCCGGCCAGACGGCCGCCCAGGCTGGCGTCCATCGGCAGCTTGGCCTTGAAGATCTTTTGTGCTTCCTGAGCCGGACTGCGAGAAAAGACGAGATTTGTGAATTTCGATGAGTCTGAGAGGATGTGCGATAACTTACGGAGAAAAAGCACCGAGGAACGGTAACACGATGCCTTATAAAATATTAGTGCGTATGCCCAAAAATCTACTAACCGAGCGAGAACACGTCGAAAAAAATACTACTTTTTTCGGTAGAATTCCGACAAAGGCACGAATATCTGGATCTAAAGTGACAAAGAAAATAACTTAAAGAAGACTTGAATGATAACAAGTAAAAAAGGTGATACAGCAGCCATCCAAACACCATAACCAGACGTACCCGCTCAGGTTTTTCCAGCGGGCGAAGAACGCCTCCGAGTTCATTTCGGTCGGCTCGATAAACTTGTTGGGCGTGACGGGCAGCTTGAGGTGTAGCTTCTGCTGTACTCCGCTGTACATAAAGCTGACGGAGAGGTCCGGCATGCCTGCAGAAAGGACATAACGTCACATACGGAAGGGTAAACAGCTCATAAGCCGCGGTAGTAACGTAGGTTTAGTACAGGATGGGACGCATCTGATGGCACCCGTATCGGCTTCCGTTGACTTGCGACCAGTAAACTGCTGGGAATGGCGTGATCGCGAGTGATTTTTGTCGGTCGTGTCTACGAGTCACGGACTCACGAGAGTGCTGACGTAGCAGTTCGTCACCCATCGACTGACGGATGCATAAATATATGACGATATACGTCGTGTACACTGCGCAAAACTCGCTTACAACCACGAGCCGAAGGTCAAAGCTGGCGTGCACGCTTGGACAAGCGTATTAAGTACTACCGTCACAATGAAATCTTACATAAAAACAGCGATCAAATTACTCAAATACAGCTTTAGAATACGGTGCTTCTGGCACCGGGAACGTTATGGATCACTGGAACATTATTGTGGATGATATTTTGTGTAAGGACGTTGTAGTTAGTTTTCACTTGTTCACTATCATTAGCTACTCTTGCGATCTCAACCACTGCACTTACCCACATACTCCTCGATGAGCTCAAAGTTGACGGTCTGCTGCACCTGAGCTCCTCCGTCAATGTTGTCGTCCACGGGCTTGGCCTGGACCGTCAGCCGGTTGGTCAGGCCGTCAGGCAGAGTCACCGATGTGCTGAAACCCTGTGGAGACGGCCGTACAGAGCGTCAGTGGCGGAAAAATTGGACCCAGTCAGCCTGTGCCGTGTAAGTGATGCCAAACACATCTGGCATTTTAAATACCAAAGACGGGGTCAAATCATATGTCTAGAGAAAAAATACGAGAAAACGCCAAACATATTTTTGTGAAAAACCTTTCAATTAATCTCATCAAGACAATCGATACAAAACAAAATTATCGATGAGTATTGAGCATAGCAGGCAAATATACAAGAATATCGTCCGCTGCTCGGTACGGGGAAGCGGCTTTAGTTCATTCATTTTAAACAGCCCCAAAATCCAACAGTCCATCCCGTTTCCCACCCGTTCCACACCGATACCAAGCCCAGTGCGGACGCCCAATCTCTCACCGTTAGCGCCATCGGCGTCTTGTTGCCGAAGAAGATGCCGACCCGTCCCAGGTTCAGCCGGTACTCGCTCTTGATACCGATCTGCAGAATGTCGTTTTCAAACAGCACGCCGTTGTTCTTGCAGATGAACCTAAAGGAAGGGATAAATCAGCATAAGGCTTAAGTAAGTTTTTTTGTAAAATTCATTGCATGAGACTAAACTGTAAAATCAACGAAGACAAAATATGTTCTTGTCTAGAATCGGCGCAAAAGATCAGTGCTTATCCCCCGGTACCTCTCCAAGAGAGGAGATTTCCCGCCTCCCTCTCCCCATCCCTATCCCGTGTGTAGCGTTCGGCGCCTCTCGGAACCTGTTGCACACACAAGATAGCGAGAACAATATTTTTATCACGTAATACCATCAGCGCTTGGTTCCCTGTCATATCGGTGTGCGGAATGAACTCACTTTTTCACAGCGGCCTGCTGGTCGTGCACGGCTGCGGCGGCGGCGCCGTAGTCCCCGCCGGCCGGACTGGCCGGGTGCGCTCCGTTGGTGGCCGGCGGGGCGGCCGCGGTGGACGTGCCGCCGCCTCCCAGGTCCCCCAGTACGTCCACCAGCAGGCCGGTGTTGGTCGGCGCGGCTGCCGACGGGGGCTGCACGGCTCCACCGGCCGTGCTCAGCAGCGTCGGCGTGTCGGAGGTGCCCAGACCCTGTGGGGGCGAGATCAGGGGAACGTTAGCGAACATCAGAGGACCATCAGTGATCATAGACGACCCTCAGCATCGTCTATCATCGCCCGTACCCCGTTAAACAATCATCAGCATCGATTAACCAGAGTACAGCAGCTCCGTCGCCGTATGGACATATTTCTGATACCCAGCACTGCCCGCGCCGCGTCTGCCACCCGCGCCATGAATGTACTGCGATCAGCTTTTCGTAGCCTACGGGCTGCGCTAGAGCTCACCGACACTAGCGCCATCCATCAAGCGCTCGGTCAACCTCAACCTCTGCTGTCACCCACAGAGATGGAGACCCTGAAACGCTTGGGGCGCTCTGGTGGTCGGAGTAGAGGGCGACACCATCCAGCACACGACTCGCGGCCGGCTCGAGTTGGCTGTGACGTGATCTGGGGCAGCAGGTCCAGCATGCGCGAGAACAGGCCGACCCGGCCAAGGACGCTGCTGTACCCTACCGTCGTCTCTGGGGACAGCGCGCCCGGCCCAGTAGCGCGACAGGCTAACGTCCCTGTGCAGAGACGGCTTAAACTCGGCCACATCAACATACGCTCTCTCGTGCCTAAAATCGACGAGACACGACTGATATTACGACAGAACAGCTTGGATGTTTTATGCATTTCTGAGTCGTGGCTTACTGAGCAGGTGAGCAGCAGCTTACTGATCTTCAACGGGTATCAAGTTTTTCGACAGGATCGAGCCAGGGCCAAGCGAGGTCAGAAGACGGCCCGAGGCGGTGGACTGGCTGTACTGGTCCGTGACGGCATCTCTGTGACGAAGTTGAAGATATCGTCACCTGTCGACACCCGCCTGGAGACCATGTGGCTGCTGATGTCGTTTGCCGGCGGCCGGTCGGCGGTGATCGGAGCGGCATACAGACCTCCGGACGGACGGACGACGGACGACCTGGAGGCGCTACGTCACCAGCTGCTGGAGGCGGTCGGCACCGGCAGCCGTCTGTACCTGCTCGGTGACCTCAACATAGACCTCATGAAGCCTACCAAACCTGACACCGTTCAGTATACTGCGCTACTGACAGATCTGAGCCTGACTCAACTCATCTCAGAGCCGACTCACCCAGGACAGACGCCCTCCCTCATCGACCACATCGTCACCAACGACATCAGCGGGGGTCTGGCCGGGTCGGTGATCCAGGTGCACGTCAGCGATCATGACCTGATCGCGGTAGAAGCACCGCTACCACGGATAAAGAAGAAGCCGCGGACGGTCACCACTCGGTCAGTTGGACAGACAGACTTCAACCATCTGTGTCTGGACCTGCTGATGTCAGACTGGTCTCCACTCTACACCGCGGAAAGTGTTGATCAGGCATACTCAGCGTTCCTTCACATCTGGAATGCAGCCATCGACACACACTGCCCTCTGAAACAAGTCCGTCTCAAACACCCGGAATGTCCATGGCTGACGCTCAACGAAGACCTTCAAGAGCTGCAGGCGAGACGAGACCTGGCGCGGAGACAGAGGGACTCGCTGCGCACCGAGAGCGCTCAGCGGACCTACTCTCGCCTCCGCCGTGAGTTCCGATCTCGCCTCGCCAGGGCGCGCGCTGAGTTCTTCTCGACACCAACATCGTCAACACAGATGTGGAAGACGCTGCGCTCGTTCGCCCTGAGCTCATCCAAGAACAAAGCTGACGTCGGTCTGGACGAAGCAACTGCCACATCCTTCAACAGGTACTTCGCCGGCGTCGGAAGCCGCATAGCGGAGGAGCTAGCTGCCCAGCCGGGCCCTCCGCTGCCGCCCCGACCGCCGGTGGTGACCAGTGCTGCATATCGCGTCCGGGTGGCGACTCTTCCCGAGCTCGGAGACGCTCTGAGACGTATGTCGAACTCGAGTGCTGTGGGCAGTGACGGCGTGTCTCTGCAGCTCGTGAGGAAGTGTTTCCCTGTGATAGGACCACATATTTTGTATGTCATCAACAAGTCATTCGTCTCTGGGCAAGTCCCAGCTATCTGGAAACGCGCGGTTATAGTACCGATTCATAAGTCAGGAGACAGGACGCTGCCATCTAACTTCAGGCCCATCAGTGTTCTCAGTGTGATAGTAAAGCTCGCAGAGAAGGTCGTAAGTTTGCAGCTTGTCGAGTTCATGGCTGAAACTCAGTTTCTAACACCAACGCAATATGCCTACCGCCCAAAGCACTCGACTGAGGACGCTGTGGTAGACGTAGTGAGCGCCATAGCTGCCAACAGAGACAAGGGCCAAGTGACATGTCTGACATCTTGTGACCTCTCCAAGGCTTTTGACACTGTTGATCGTGAAAGACTGCTGCAAAAACTCAACTGGTACGGAATATCAGACCACTGGCTCCGAGATTATTTTAAGGACAGAACACAGGGTGTGCGGGGTAGCACCGAGCTGGCAACGGTCGATTTTGGCGTGATACAGGGTAGCACTCTGGGGCCCTGGCTCTTCAACACCCTCACGAATGACATGCCATGTCATCTGTCCGCCAACTGCAAGGTAGTATCGTATGCTGATGACACCGTCCTTATGCACAGCGCGCTCCCCACCGCGGACGGTCTTGCTGAGCTTCAGCGGAACGTAGAGGCTGATCTGGGAGCGGTGGCTGCATGGTTCCGGTGCAACGGACTGAAAGTCAACCCTGACAAAACAGAGATGACACTGGTGGGAACTACCTCGTCTGTCAAAAAAGTAACCAACTTCAACATCACCTTCGACGGCATCAGGTTGGAACGCACTGAACACATGAAGTTTCTCGGCGTCTTACTTGATCAGACTCTGTCGATGGAACGACAGACAGCCCGTGTCGTGCAGCGCGGGTATGGCACCCTCGTCACGCTCAGGAAGCTGAGAGGCACGCTGCCTCCCTCCACCATGACAACGCTCATCCAAACCCTGGTCATGCCTCACGTCACCTACTGCCTGCCTGCATGGGCTCCGCCCACGCATCAGCTACAACATCGCATCGAGAAGATGCTGAACTTCGCCATCCGCATAATCACCGGTAAAAAGAAAACCGATCACGTTTCAGCCGCTCGCAGACAACTGGGCTGGTTGAAATTTGCCGAAATAATCGAGCTCAGAGACTGTGCTTTAGTGCACAGACTTGTGCACTGCACCGACACTCCACAAGCCCTGAGATCGCTTGTGTGTGCCCGAGCGGATGTGTCCGAGCGGACCACTCGTTCGGCCACCGACGGTGTCCTACACGCACCGCGATGCAGGATGGAGGTCACACACAAGACCGTGCCAGTTCGTGCTTTACGGACATGGAACCGTCTGCCCAACGAGCAGCGACAAAACATCAACCCGACCACTTTCCGAGCCAGCGTAAGAGCAGCATACGCGAGCCAGTCATAGATGCGCCACCTATCATCCGTTTTTTTTTTTTTTGTCTGTGATTTTTAGCCAAGCTGTGCCATGTGCGTACTTTTATATAATTTTATACGTTTTATCACACTCGCGTGGGCATACCTATTTTTATCTCATGTTCTCTGAAATCTGCTTCAACGACTGTGTGATATACGTGTCCTTTATGTACTTTGACACTGTGGCGGTAAAAGCCAACATTGTTGGATCCCACTAAGACATGCAATAAATAAATAAATAAATAAATTAGTGGGGACTCTGAGCAAGAAAACACAACATAATTGAGATGGATTTAACATCGAGTGACCAGTACGAGCATTGGCCGTTCCACAATTACCTGCGTTTCCGTGGGCTGTCCCTAAGTGAGAAATCAAACATGCACGTCTAGCAGCCCTCTGCAGGCAGTTACATTTGGTTTGCCCTGAAACCCAATATGTGGCGTTCAACGTGACTTGATACCCACCTGTGGCCTCTCACTGGCGTGCGGGTTGGCGGCCCGCGGCGTTTTGCTGATGTCCGGGATGCGGCCGCTCTTCTTTTTCAGGATGGCCAGGATGGAAGACTCGCGCTCCGGGAAGGGCGGCATCTCCTCCAGCACTGTTGCCTGAGAGAAACAGGCGTGAACTTCAGTGAAATGTTGACTCGATGACATCAAGTGAGCTGTTGATGAGATAAGAAATATGACTTTCGATATGGTCAAATGACAGCACACCATATTCTATCACCGAAGTTAACCCGCGCCCTGCTGGGGGGGGGGGTGTTTGAACACCCCCCCCCCCCTTGTGGTTTTTCGCAAATACATATCTCAAAAACGGCGGCGCGGAGCGCCGCCGTTTTTGGTACACCTTATCATGCATCAATTCTACACATTTTGTGAAAATTTCAGACCAAGGTCATTCAAGGTCAGGTCACCAGGTCACTTGAAGTGACCTCACCTCATAAAAAGTTTCAATGTCTGTCATAGCTACACCGAGTGACCGATCGCTTTGAAACTTTCAGCGATTGCTAAGAGCAATAGCATGTACAAAATGTATATCTCAGAATTTTGATATCGATGACCTAAGGTCAGGTCAATTTTGCGACCTCCCCATTATAAGTCAATGGGAGAAAATTGAAATGCGTCTCTTTTGGGCGAAAGACATTATAAACACTCCCAAACACTGAATTACAAGTGGTTTAGACACACTGAACATGAAAATGGTGTCCGTGACCCCTGTTTATGCCCTGAGGTCATCTTAGGTCACGAATGGTATCTAACAGTTTTTCGCAAATAACTTTTGATAGAGGCATGCTAGAGCGATGAAAACACCTTAGATGTGTTCAGCTCGATGATACGGATCGACTGATATGCAACATGGCCCTTTCCGGTCAGGTCATGACCTTGACCTGAGGTCAAATTTTCAAGTTGACCTTTCAAGGTCAAGTTATAGTTCATTCGATGCGTCTTGACGAGAGAAACACGATGCCGGTAAAAGTAAGCTCTTACAAGGCTTGGGTCAAAAGTTATTGCAGAAAAACTGTTTCCGAAAAAAAAATCGGCTATTTTTGTAGTTTTTGCCCCTGCAGGCAAAACCGTTGACGTTAGGTCAAATCTGAGAGAATTATTCAGAAAGGGCGTTAATAGGGCTATCGAATGCGCTTTTCCGCGGCGCTGTAGCTCTATTGGTTTCCGAGTTATGCGTTGGCTTCTTGGAAATTTTCGACATTCGACCTGGAAATCGGCGAAATTTTGCCTTCAATGACCTCTGGTGACCTGACCTTTGACGTGACCAAAAAATTGACCGAAGTGATTTCCTCATTATTTTTGACGCTCTTTCGAACGCCGCCTTTCGCGTATCGCTACGTGGCCCAGGAGCCGAGTTACAAGGGGGGGGGGTGTTCAAACCCCCCCCCCCCCAGCAGGGCGTGGAAATCCAGGACCCCCAGCCGGGCGCGGGTTAAATTGACCAAAGAGGAAAATGAGTTTGGATATAACTAAACACAAAAAAAACAGCCAGATGCGAGCTCCCGATATTGTACCGTAATATTTTACCATAATATAGAGAGCCATCGCCTAAGTCTAAGTAGCAAGAATTATAACAACGGCCGCTCACCAGCACGTCTGTGGTGGCGTGCACAGACAGGCTGAGGTACTCGGAGGCGCGCTGCTGCAGCTCCGCGTCCGCCGACCGCAGGTTGTTGTCCGAATGAAGCACGTCCTGGATCTGGGACTTTATCTCCGGAAACAGGTTGATATACTTGACGTAGGTGGAGAGCAGCAGCGCTCGCGTCGGCGCCGAGCACAGGTGGTACTGTAAACAGAGGGATACCAGTGAACGGTTATTCGATGAGAATGAGATATGACTGAGTTATTCCAAAACAGTTTTGGCTATTGAACTAGTCGGAATGTCCATGGATCTCCAAGGAGAAAGGCGTAATTCTCCTATCATTCATATACGTTTTTTCGAGCCATTGTTATTTTCTACGTCCACAGATGCAATAATCAGCTGCAGCTGGTGTTAGTGACTGATGATTCAACTGCCAATATCCAGAAATCGTGCTTTTCCAACCAAGCGGCTATGAGAGCTCAGATAGGCATTAGGCAACCACACGAAACGGCTTACTCACCGCAGGCAGTACCGAGCGGCGAGCAATCAAAACCGCAATCGTTTCACGGATACTGAAGAATGTTTCTCGACCGAAGAGCACGAACGCAAAGCCATTTTTCTACAATCATGTCCGTTAAAATCAAATTCGTAGAACAGCATATTGGCTACTCGCCCCCCGCCCGCTTCCACCGTTTCCCATTATAGACCAAGCTGGTGGTCACCTTGGAATGGAGCAGTTTGAATTGTACTGCGGGCGCCGAGCGGGCGTCGCCGGCGATCAGGTTACCGAACTCGCCCAGAATATAGCCGCCCACTTTGACCATGTTCTCGTGGCAGGCGGGCGCCTGCAGCGCCTCAAACACCGTCTTGGCCGCGTATCCCTGCACGTCCTCTCGGTTGACGACAATCTGGATGACACGGTACCAGACTTCCTCGCTGACGTAGTCGCCGGCGATCCGGATCAGGTTGAGGATGACGTCCACGTACCAGGTGTAATCCATGGCGTACTTCTCGGCCAGGATCGCCACCTTCAGCACCTGCGCGGAAAGGCGAACTGATACGTCACAAAACTGGTATCACTGACTATCGACATACAACGTCCTTATACGTGTATCCGTAAGCAGTACAATGCCTCGCCTACAGTGAGGAAAGAGAGTCCTACTGACATATTTGGACAAGCAGATTGAGACACGAAAAATTACACGCAATATACGAGCTAATATTCACAGTCCGGTGGTCGAAAGCATGCCACTTCTTATGTTCATAACTACCACTCCCATCATCAATTCAATCCCCTAGTACCACTGAATTAGTGGAAGCCGTACCATCTCTTCTCGGATGGAGTAGTCGGCCGACTCGAGGTAGTTGAGCATCTCCTGGACGATGGTCTCGGCGTTGGTGCGGTCACACATGGCGTACAACAGGTCCACGGCCCGCTGGCGCACCGAAACGTCTCGCTCAGTCTGTGGACCGGATAAAGATACCGGTAAATTAAATACGGTGCTACACACAGCGGCACGGGTAAACACAGACCTATATCCACCAATACGTCCCTACCAGCATAGGCGGCCGTGCAGCTGCCGGCGGCACTGATTTTATACCGACCTGCGTCTTGGAGGTGGAATTTAAAAATAATCAAGGAGGTAAAAATCATAAAACCATTGTCGAGTATCATCCACCATGACGAACGTCGTCCACCTAAAACGACCTTCGTGGTATGGCCACTTTGATGGTAACGGTAGTCACTAATACCATGGTAGTCATTAACGATGATATCGCCCTACCTTGAGCGCGTTGATGACGGTCTCCTGATGTTTCTTCACGGCTTCGTGCGAGAACTCGGAGGTGGCCAGCAGGCACATGGACTCGAGCGCCAGGTAGCGCAGGTTGGTCTCCCGGTGGGTGAGGAACTGACCCAGCTGGTTACAGGCGCGCACCAGCAGCTGAGGCTCGCTGCCGGAGCAAAGGGTAAAACAGAAGCGTGTCAAACGGCAGGTCGGCAAATGCAATACCATTTAGAACGTCAGACACACGTCTTTAGCGATGATAAATGACTATCCTTGTCGAGTCAGCGTTCTCTGATCGTCCCCAGCCACACGCAAATAATGTAGAACATCGGACTTAATAAGCATCTTTGCATTTTTAGCGATCAAAAGACTGGCAGAAGCTGCCGTAACAAAACTCTTTTAATCATTAGATGGTTCCGCCAATCGCCAGAACGACCACTTGGCAAGTGTTGAATTCGAACTGCATACGTTATCTCAAACCAGTTCTAAAAATAACACTCAGCTGGCTTAGATAAACAGCAGGGGCTGTCTGTCAATAGCAGTGACCTTTCAGGCGGCAGTAGTTGATACGGTCAGCCTAGGCTTTCCGCTCCGATTAAATGCTATATCGTTCTCTCAGCTCCGATTAAATGTCATCTCCGACTATTGTCTGGCCCTCCGGAATATTAGGTATCTCGGTCTTGCTCAGTCTGAAATCTGAATACTACACCGGTCGCTAAGCTCCATTTGAACCTACCCCAGGCTGTTGGTATGCCGCTCAGTCTCCCAGCACTCCGTTCTTATGTGGTTTTCCCGTGTTGCTCACCTGTCCGAGTGAATGATGAGGCTGATGGCCTCCATCAGCACCGCGTTCTTGGCGTTCGAGTGCTGCACTTTTTTGGACTTGGGCGGCTCCTGGGCCTTGTTCAGGATGGTCTCCAGACACTCGTTCAGCCGGCCGCGCACGCCCGGGTCGTCTGGAAGCGGATATAACAGCGTCGGTAAGCGTACAAAATGCACAATGCACATGCCACATACCTATTCAGAAACAGGCTTACCCAAAAATACCCGGAAACATTACGACACAATAAAAAAACACGCCTGAAAAAACGAGGTGGGAACTCGGATTCCTCTGATGTTACGCTCTGTTCGAACCAAGGCCGCATCTGACAAATATGTCGTCTTGGTCCAAACATTTGGAGCTGCGGGGTATCGATCCCCGTACCTCTCACATGCTAAGCGAGCGCTCTACCACTTGAGCTACAGCCCCACATGCAAGGTGACGGAAGCGTACTCAGAATGGCGAGGGGAGGTATGTAAATTTGAGACCAGACCCCGACCCATCATGCTCCAAACAAACGGACCAGACACCCGTGGGGCCGGCCTGACCAGCCCGCTGTCAACAAACCCACTAACCACCCTACCCTAAGCACCGCGCCGTGAAAGCGATGTGGTGGCCACAGAGCACAATTACCGGCGAGTCCAAACGAAAAATTCAACTGTATGTACGCCTTCAGTTATATCACCCAAAGACAGGATGATTCTACATCTATCTCGCCTAACAAGGGAGAGTTTCGAATAAATTATATTTGCTCGGTTTCTATAGAAACGTAAGCAAAAATGTCAGCTCTGCTAAGGTTTTCATGGAAACTACACACACATGTAAACAACCACTGTACAGGGTGGGGCAGAAAGATTTACCTGTTTGTTTTCGGTCAATAACGCAAAAAGTTATAAACGGATTTTGATAAAATTTTGCATGCAGCTTCCTAACTGACTCATGTATCAACATTATGATCCTGTTTGCATTTTGTAATATTTGTTGGCGAGCTATAGCGAAGATGACTAAGAGAGCCCAAATTGCGGCGCTGAAGTAGGTTGGCCATAGCTCCTGAAGCGTTGCCAAACAGCTCGGTGTTGCCGTAAAAACTGTTTGCAATGTAATTAAATGACTTAAAAAGACAGCCTTAGTGTCGACGAAGTCCATGCCAGGCAGAACAAGGGATATCTGCTTCAAAAAGCTGGTAAATATCGTGCACAAGAAGGTGTTTCAAGTTCTAGGCGAAGCATGCGCAAACTGCCAAGGGAACTCGGTGTTTCGCCAAGAACCGCCAGGAGAATCATAAACGACGGCTTGGGCTTCATGTCATACAGTGTGCAACATCGGCACCTAATTTCGGCGGGATCCAGGGAAAAGTGGCTACACAGGACCCAAAAGACATAGGAAGAGATGAGGAGCGCCGGTAACAAGGCATTTTTCTGGTCCAATGACAACATTTTCATGCTTGAGCCCCAGAGACACTCCCAAAGCGTCAGCTTTTTGGCAGATGGTCCATCCAGCATTGATCCTGCTATTCGCACCATTTTTCGTCGCCAGCAGCTTGCTGGTGTCTTTGGTTGGGCTGCCGTCGCATCCGACGGCTCAAAAGGAGCCTTGGTCTTCATCAAGGAGGCTGTAAAAGCTAATTTACAGGTTTAAGCCCATCTGCTGGAGAAACACGCTTTGCCTTGGGTCACTCAGTCGTTCCGAGACGGATACGTCTTCGTCCAGGACGGCGCGCCGCCGCAAACGGCCAACATCGCTCAACCGTGGTGGGAGACCCACATGCCTGGGTTCTGGGACAAAGACATTCGGCCATCATCAAGTCCAGACCTGAACCCGATGGACTTCGCGATCTGGACCATCTTGGAGAGGAGGGTGTGTGCAGCGGCACACAGCAGAATCGCCGCCCTGAAGCTGGCCCTCGAGACGGCACCGTCGAATCTTGGCGGGGACACCGTGCGGCGCTCGTGCCCCTCCGCAGAGGAACGTTTCGAGGCAGTGGTGAAGGACAAAGGTGACCCTATGGAGTCATAATGCCGTCGCTGAGATGTGTACATGTTACTGCATATATGTGCCAGAAATCAATTTCATATCTTTGTTCGGGGCCGAAATATTTAAGAAAATCAAGAGGTAAATCTTTCTGCCCCACCCTGTAAACCCTGCTGTAGCGCCGCGTTCGAAAGGTGAGCCATAATGGCTTCTTTTCCGACCGTAGTACCCTCAGAAGCTTCTACGTGGACGACGAAGATTCTAAGTAACGTCACGTATAATCTTCGCGACATCGACACCAAACGGCGTCTTCGGCCCGAGAGAAAAAAAAATATATATGTCGTCCGGGAGACATCGAACGCGGCCTAAACCAACGGCCCTCTCACCAGGCGGTGGGTAGTTTTGCAGCAGCCGCAGCAGTTTGACCGACAGCCAGGGCGCCGGCACGAAGTAGTAGGTGTAGTCCTGGAGGTCCTGGTAGCTGGAGGTGACGATCCGGCTGAGCCGCGAGACGGCCAGGCTGACACAGCCGCGGTACTCCTCCGAGCTGTGGCGGACCAGCGCCTCGATCAGACTGACGGCCGCCGTCACCACGCCCATGTGCTGGTCGTTGAGCAGGTGGATGATCCGCGAGGTCCACTCGCCGCTCGGGATCACCTGGTGGCGGAGCAGGGAGTCAGGTATGGCGCACTACGAGCGGCAGACGCGGAGCACAATCCAATAGACATGAGTGCGATCCAACAAACATGTTGATGCCACTTCCATTCATGGCGATAACCCTGTTATTCGCCGTTTTCATCACCAGGCTGCCAGCTTGCTAGAGCTTTTCGACTGTCATTCGTCGAATTCATGTGGTCTGAGCGGTTCACCAACGAGAGGCCAAGAAACGCCAGCACAGAACTTCCATATATGGGGAAAACGGTGGCATGCTAATATTTATTTATTTATTTATTTCACATCATAGACCCATTCCACACAAGCGTGGCTATTCTAGGATCAGGGTCACAATTAAAAAATAAGGATAGTTGGTCACACATATCGTACACGAATTCATTCTCACAAACTCACACCCAATCACACTTCCCGCGAGCGGGTCGTCACTAGCCGGCATCGGTCTGTTGCTGGAGCAAATACCTCCGCAGCTCTCTTTTAAATGGGCTCAGGCCTAGGTCGCGAATCGTTTGTGGTAAGTCATTAAAAGCGGTCACGGCTGAGTATAAAAAGCGTCTCCTACCGGATTCTGATCTAATGGTAGGCACATTCAGCAGCTCGTTCTGTCGCGTGTCGCGCTGATGAACATGTCGTCGAAGCGTGAGGCTGGCGGATAACGTCTCGGGCTGAGAGGTAGACAGAATGCGCTTTAACAATGTCAGCGTGTGAAAAACATGTAAATTGCGCGCCGAAAGCCACTGCAGTTCATGAAGGACGTCACTCACATGATCAAATTTTCGACGCCCGGAGATGACGCGTGCTGCGAAATTCAACACTTTCTGTAGCCGACCAGTTTGTGTGGTGTTACAGGTTCCGTAGACACTAAGACAGTAGCGAATAAGTGATACGACTAGAGATTGGACTAGAGTTGTGAGCGTCGCAGAAGGTAAACTATGACGGCAGTGACTCAAACCGATTAAAATGCCTGTGCAGCGCCGAACCACATCGTCAATGTGCGCGGTAAAAGTCATAAATTGGTCGAATACGACACCCAGGTTCCGCACCATGAGAGATCCGGAGACAGTCGTGCCCATGAACTTGATAGAAATGGTTGGTACCTGTCGAAGATTTTGTCGAGTGCCGAGAGCTATGAGCTGTGTTTTTTTTAGCGTTGATTTTCATGCCATTTTTGCCAAACCAGTGAGCAAGTTGCGAAAGATTACGTTCCATGGAGCTAACAAGGGCACCAATGTCTCCGGGCCTGCCACTCACGAGAACCTGAGTGTCGTCCGCGTACTGCACTATGCACGCGTCATCAGCATACAGCGGCAAGTCGTTGTCGTAGATGCTGTACAACAGCGGACCGAGCGCTGACCCCTGGTAAGTTCCGATCGGGTTCGGCAGAGGCGACGACAGATCACATGAGCCTCGCTGGCTCCTAGCTACTACTTGCTGGTAGTGGTCCGCCAGGTAGCTCTTAAACCAGCGAGTGTCTACATTGTACAGCTCCAATTTTCTCAGAAGTCCATCATGAGGTACAACATCAAAGCACTTTGATAGATCTAAAAGGCACAGAAGGGTGATCTCTTTCCGGTCCATGGCCTCAAACACTCTGTCAGTTACAGTGAGTAACGCTGTGTCGGTCGAGTGGTTCAATCTAAAACCGTGTTGACTAGAGGAGAAAAGGTGATGGGTTGTAAAGTACGTAAAAAGCTGTTCATAAACGACACGTTCGGTTATTTTGGCGATGGTTGGTAGGATTGATATGGGACGGAAATTGGATAGGTCAGTGGATTTGGGCGACTTTTGGATAGGATGGACTAGGGCTAGTTTCCATGATGTTGGGACGGTGTGGGAGTTGATGCTGGTGTTGACAATGTGGGTGATGACAGGACAGATGGAGTCGAAACACTGCTTGATGAACCGCACACACAGTCCGTCCGCCCCGCACGACGTGCTGCTCGCCATCCGGCCGATAACGCGCCGCAGCTGCTCCGGTGTAACAGGCGCTACCTGGAACCGGCCGGTGCTGACACGGGGCAGGCGCACTGCCAACCGCGGGCCACCAGAGTCCACCTGTCGGGCGGTGGAGGTACCGACACTGGCGAAGTATTGGTTTATCGCGTCCACGTCCGCGTCCGGTAGTGGTCGGGTCGGCCGTTTTCCCGATATAACCGGCCGCACATTGCGCCACATGGAGCTCGGTCCGCCCTCACTTATACGCCGGCCGATCTCCTCGCGCGTGTCACGGCGGACAGCCGACCTGACCTGTCGGTTTAAGTCCTTATAACGATCCCGGTCACCGGCCCGGAGCGCCGCGCGCCGCTGTGACATCAGACCTTTTGTGTTCTCTGTCACCGGGGGCGCCGTCGGATTGCGCACTTTGACCCTCCGAATGGGGGCTAGGCTGTTCACAATGGGCACCGTCACGGTCGTAAAATAGTCCCACTGCTCACCGGGGTCGGCAGTGTGGAACACAGGGCTCCAGTCCACGTCACTGAGGCGGCGGCTCGCCTCCGTCGTGTCCAGTCTGCGCCAGCACCGCCCGGTCACCGCACACCGGGCCGGGCGGCGGCCGGGGACCAGTACCAGAGCACGAGTCCAGTTGTGGGGACTGAAGTGGCAGTGAAGCGTGCCGGCCCGCTCTACACCCCGATTCGTGGCAATCACATCGATGGTGGAGCCTGATGACCTGAATGTAATAAAAAACAGGCACGGAACAGCGGTCATAATTGGCGATCTATGATCGACCTTTTATGGCCGTCGTAAGACTGACCTCTCTTGACCTCGTCCCCCTTTACAGGATCTTCAAACGACATCATGAATTTCTCTCCGGCCGCAGTAGCTCACCTCCGGACTGGTTCTGAACAGACGCAGCAGACAGAGCGCCGCCGACTGTTTGACCACGTCGATGGCGTCTGCGGAGACGAGCAGGCGCGGGATCTCCTGGCCGAACGCCTCGGCCATGTCTTTGCTGCCGATGTTGGCAATGCACTGCATCGCCAGGTTGACGTGCACAGGGTTCCTGGGCGGCACAACCGAGTTCGCCCGTCAGTGGGATACTGAGCGGGAGGGCAGTCACCAGGATCCTGGACGCGACAAACAGGCAGGAAGGAACACACACCCGTCACTGGCGGGCTACACGCGACGGACAGTCTCTGGGTTCATGAGTGCGACAAACAGGTACACCTGTCATTAGGGGGCTCTGTGATTGGTGCAGTTGCCAGCATTTGGACGACGCGACAGCTATAACTTGAACTATCTCACCGGCTCATCGTGAAAGAGGGTGACCACATAAGCTAACATAATTTTCTGAACAAAATAACAGCATGTTCACTTAAAAAATGTTGAACTTTGTCCTAAAGAGGCCATTCGTAAATAAAAGGTGCCCACCAAACAACACATAAGTGGTCATGGTGCATATTAAACATGTGACTTACTTGGAAGCCAGGTCATTTTTGATATTTTGTATGATGAGCTTGATAAGATCAGAGTTTGTGTTGATGAGCACCGAAATAAACAGGTAGCCCTGAAAAAAATGATGGCATCTGTCAGCCACATGATTATTGGTCAATGGTCATTGGTCATTCATAATACCTCATCCAAAGATGGGCACTTCTTCTTCTTCTAGGTTTCTTCTTCTTCTTCTTCTAGGTTTGGGAAAACAATTAAATTATGGTCACTAATCTCTAACATAAAATGCATCACTCATAGTATAAATAGGAATAATCAGCAGACAAATCTTAAGAAAGCATAAATGAACTTACTCATAATGAAAAAGATAATGATCAAACTCCTTCAATACTCACAATTTGTTTCTCTGTGTACTTGTTTGAGGACAGCAGATTGACTGCCTCCATATGGCCAAAGTCAATGTCATGGCCCAAGAGGAAAATGAAGAGCAGCTTGCACACATATTTCTTCTTCTGATACCCATCCAATGTTTTGTCACCTTTGAACTTCCCACGAATGTTTGCCAATTCTTTGTTTATCCTCTTAATTTCAGCTTCTTTGCTCTTGCCTGAAACAGATGATGTTTTTCAAACAATTTGCAGCATGAAAACATTATGGCAATGACCAAAGCATTTTAAATGTTGTGTAACCATTTTTGTCAATATAACTGACTTAACCCTGAACCAGCCTAACCAACTACAACCAGAACCAGCCTCAGATTTAGCAACTATTAATCTCACCTCCAAGGACACTAGTTGAAATAACACCCTCGAACTTGGGTAACAATCACTCTGCCTTATAAACCTGTCATTTGAACAGTTTGATCTCAAATATGGCTAAATCCCTTGGTGAGTGTTCTTGTAAGCACTAGGAACCATTTCCTTATAAATAAAAAGACTGATTAATGGTTAGAGCTAACCTAGAGGTTTATGGCAAAATCATGGTGTTATTCTTAGATTTCTGCTTAGCATATATTGAAAGATCGTATAAAATAATAATGGCAAGCACACACAAAAAGGCTGTTAGATTAAATTTCAAAACAATACTTACAATTTCTGATATCAGAAATGAAGACAGCCAGCCCTCTCATACCATCTCCCCGGACGGCAGGCATCCTGCCAGACCTGAAAGCACAATACCTGTCAGGAGGTGCATAAGCCTAACAATGCTTGCCACTCCTTAAATCCTCTCTGACCAGCCTGACTTTGTAGAAGGACATGTAGGTACTCCCAGTTCTCACCACACAAACACCAGCACCCTACCATCTATTGACTGGGCAACCAGACTGACTCATGCAGACAAATCTAACTATGCAGTGCTCACTGAAAAATCAAATATCACTGGCAGCTACCTATATACTAATACCCCCTGCCTCACCAACCAGGAAGAAATGAGTCACGACAGTGCAGTTCCGAATTTAGGATAATACATTAGTTTACATGATTTGTTATACACGGTTTGTCGACATATTATATTCAGAATGGACAAAGTAAGAAAAAATAAACGATAGCATACTAGCCCCATGCCCCAAACGCATATTATTCAGAGAAAATGGGGTGAAAATGTTGATGAGACATAAATGACGCGCATCATTCTTTCATAGTGCACCAATTCCTTACTTTTACAGGCCTCACTTTTGAAGAATCGAACTCCAGAGATGTCGGTTGACCAAAATATTATGCCTTCAAAGAAAGGAAACCACAAAACACATTACACAAACACCTCAATTTCACCGGCCACCGACCCGAACCGCCCCTTCCAATCCGACATCCACCCCCTTCGTGGCGTGAATTGCTACCAAATTATCAATGTTCAAATACTTTCTCAAGTATTTTGGAAAAAAGTATCTAGAATCAGCATTTTTTGTTGTGTTTTCATATTTTAAATATTCATTCTTTGATTCTTGTGTAGTCTTTCTTTATTTCTATGGTAGTTTATACAGCTTTTTTCAATTTCGCTAAAAGATACGACCTGTACATCCTACTTATACCTATTATCGTTACCAGCCGGCTGCGATCCAGAGAAAGAGTTATTTCTATGCGACTCCTTTTGGTCCATTAATATTCATTAATCCAAATGATCCGTCTCATCCATTTAAAAATCCACTTATATCCAAATTATCCATTATAAAATCTTTTTCATGAAGCTGGGATTCATTCATCGCTTCGAAATAATAAGGCTTTCTTGCGGTTTAGGTTAAGAGTTGTCTCTAAAATCGTCAAATCGTCTGTAGATATGGTAGCTCTACATAGTAGCGTTACTAGCGCAGACGTCACATTAGTGCTGTTCAATCACTATTTTTGCATCAGAACGCTGTCAGAAGGCAAGCTTAACTCGGCTTCTCATTGGTGAAATTCACGTAGGGCGTACGGCTCACCAATGAGAGGCCAGAAGGGCCCAAAAGTAAACTTCCACGCCGTGGGCGTGAGGTGCTAGGGCGTGCTAGGGAATCATATATCAATATTAGGGAACTGTGGAGAACGCTGGAAAGCGTTGATTTTTTGGCATTGATGACTAGTCAATAGGTACGCGCCCTAATCCACAAGAAGAAGAAGAAGAAGACTAGTCAATAGGTAATTTGTGTAATATGGATTCGATTTTCCATGAAAAGGTAAGTGTTTTATCAGAGTTTTGTCACACCATTATTGTCAGGTCCTTTTTAATTTTCTGTTTTGGGACTGGTCTTTGGGAAATGTTTCATTAACATTTGTGAGTTTGCTATGTGTTATTTGCTGCATAATGTACCCTCATATGATTGACAGGCTCAGACAGACTTGTAACATTACAATAGTGTGTAGGTACCACTGACACAATAGCAGGGGCGCAGGAACTACTTCAGACTGTGGGGGCACACCATGATAGAGATCAACCTAGGGTACCCCCAAATTTAGTTTTCTCGCCAGTTTTAGGCCACTTATTTTTCATCCCTTGGCTTTTTCAACAAAAAAGAAAACATTTGCAAAAAAGTGAGGTATTCCGTCTTAAAGTTGTGGGGGCACCGCCCCCACGGCCCTAAAGTTAGGGGGGCAAGCTGCCCCCACTGCCCCCCCCGGTTCCCGCGCCCATGCCGCCCATGCACAATAGTCAAATACTGCATTTTACTTTGAACCAGTTCAGGACATTGACATTCTTTTCAGCAAGAGGGATCATTGTGTGCCCAGCACTGTCTGAATGCACTACTCCAAGAGCCTTACTTCACGGCTGTCGACCTGGCCACCCTGGCTCAGCAGATGGATGAGGCCGAGCACAGCCGAATGTCTGAGGCAGGCGTTGACAGTGAAGAGTACCGCCACTTTGTCCAGGTATTGCGATTGGGTCAAGGCAAATCCTTGTATGGTATTTCTTTGTTGCCCAATTCTTCATCCTCATTTGCTTCATTCACACATTTTTTTGCATCATATTTCTTCATCTTATATTTCATGGTAAGCGCCAATATTGATAGCACACTTAGTCCCATCCCACATTTCTTTTTTATGGTGATTAGGTTAGGTGAGAAAGAGTAAGTTAACATTTTGCTAGGTTAAGCTGGGTTGGGCTGGTTAGGTTAGGCCAGGTAAGGTTAGGCTAATCCTCGCCTCGCCGGACCTATTGGTTTTCTGCATATGCGCCAGCTGAGGGAGGCAGGTACCCCGTCGCCCTTTCTTCCCTGGTGAAGTTAGCACGTCTCGGAAAAAACTAGTGTGTGCACTGTTACGAGACGCAGAGATTGATACCCGATATTAAGGTCCTAGGTCAACCGGTGACCTCTGAGGTCAGGTCAACTGCCCCAAGGTATTGATCCGTTTTTGTTGAATAACTTCGCTAAAAACGGCCGCAGAGCCGCGATTTTGGCAGCATCGTGTTTGCCTCGCTCAGGCGTGTCGAATGATATAATTTTTGTTTGGGTGAGGTCAACTTAGGGTGTTTACCTTGGGTCACGGTCAGGTCAGCGCCCCTAGGTCGCGAAATTGGTTGGAGGAGGTTATGTTGCATATCATTTGATTCGGCAGGTCTTCCTGAGTCCATTGGTGGCTTTCCGGACTCGCTAGCTCAATTTGATCGGGAGTTATTGACGAAAAACGAATATGACTCTAATGACGTCATAAATGACGTCACGCAAGGTCAACATTGCAAAAATGACGCATCGAACCTTGCAAGGAGTGCATGAAATCACGATTCTGTGTGATTGACATAGTTGGAGATCGTTCCCGGTGCCAGAATAGCAATTTTCATTTTCCCCATTCACTTTATATGGTGAGGTCACGAAAATGACCTGACCTCATATGACCTTTAGGAAAAATCCGAGATATACAAGCTGAGAGGCACCTAATGGATATAAGGTCCTGCAAGTTTCATTTCCCTGTGAAAGCTCCTCTGGAAGGGATGACGTTGCGAAGCTGCGACAACTGAAGACCGTGCAGAGGTTCACTTATGACGTCATAGGTCAGTGACCTGACCTGACTCGAAAATGCGGTTGATGTCAAAAGATCCGGCTTGAATCAAAGGTCATGTATGCCAAGTTTCAGCTCTCTATCGCCGGCGTGTTCGGAGCTATCGCGAAAAAAACCCTTTGGGGAGGGGCGGCCCCCCCCCCCCCTCGGCCGGCGAGGGTTAAGCTAAGTCAGTCAAGGTTGCCTTGGGGTAGGTTAGGTTAAGTTTGGCTAAGCTAGGCTAGGCAAGGTTAGGTTAGGCTTAGGTTAGGTTCAGATTTATGTAGACGAGGATTTGCGGACAAAGCTTTGTGGGGCTCGAAAAAAAAAATGTGGAACGGAAAACACAGACGAAAGGATCCAGAATGCAGATGGGAAGAAGTGGGCTCGAAATATATTTTACGCTTACGATGCAAAGAGAGACGAAAATGAAATGCAACTCGACACGTCACACGAATGCTCGCTTTGTATTTGTGTGTCTGTATGTGTGTTGTTTGTCGTCCCTGTGGTTACATTCGACTCAAATTGCCCTGTTTTCCTCTAGGCAGGCTCCCAGAATATGGACGACAGCGGCTACTTCTCTGTGCAAGTGATCGCTGCAGCACTGCGTGTCTTTGAGCTGGAGCTGGTGCCGTTTGGCAGCTCAGATCCGCGGGCCACGAGCGCTCGACAAAATATCGCGTGAGTGATGCTATTTACATGACATCCTGCCCACATAACCTGTCTGCGTAAGTTTTTCGAGAAAAAAAATTGTCGTGTGGTGTGGAACCATTTTATTCGTTCATTGATAGTTGTCGGTTTTTCGTGCGAAGAATGTGTCCAACATGTATTGTTTTATTTATAAAAGCATTGAAACTGGAACTTAGTCACTTTTGGGTTCTTTTAGGTATAATGCTGAGTTATGATGGCGACCATACACGTGTCGACTGTCGGCATATTATGTCAATTTACCGTTTATTATCGACTTACGAAGGCACTGATCTCTCGCAGGGGTCAATCGGCGTTCATTTGTAACTACCGGGAGCACTGGTTCACGGTTCGGCGACTGGGCCGCCAGTGGTTCAACCTGAACTCGCTGCTGACGGGGCCTGAGCTGCTGTCCGACACCTACCTCTCCGAGTTCCTCGCCCAGCTGCGACAGGAAGGTAGGCTGAGTGCTGATATATGCTGCTGCGTACCGATACATATGAGACTAATATACCGACTGCCGGGACACCCTGAACAATGAACATGCTTGATGCACTTTATTTTATATGTACTCGTCGTGGCTTCGTTGTACGCCCCTGCCAGCTCATACCGTGGTGTCATCAACTTATGGGTGCGGATGTCTGGCAACAGACGTTAAACGTTGAATTTCTCGATTATAATAGCATTAGCTCTCTTTATGGGCGAACTTACACTACTGTAGCGTACTATTAACTTACTACATATTTACCAGCGTAAAATAATGTGTGCGCTGTGCGGCAGGCTACTCGATATTCCTGGTGCTGGGCGCGCTGCCGCGCTGTGCGGCCGACCAGCGGCTGCAGACCGAGACGGTCACGCAGACGGTGAAGCCGCGGCTCATCTCCGAGCAGCGCACCATCGACTCTCTGGCCGGCGACGATCCGCAGCTACGCGCCGCCATCGCCGCCAGCCTGGACGGCGACACCGGCGGCCAGCCGACGGACGAGGAGCAGCAACTGCAGGCCGCCCTGGCCGCCAGCCTGGCCGAGTCGGCGGCGCCGGCGGCCGAGGAGCAGGAGCAGGACGAGCAGCTGCGCGCCGCCATCCAGCTCAGCCTCCAGCCCGGTGGGCATTCATGCTGCTTCTTTGTTGAGCGTAGGCCATAGCTGACTGTCAGGGTGGAATTCGCTGGGCTGAAAACCGGAATCTTTAGTTTGTGGTGCACAAGTTTTTTACCTATCGCATTGCTGTTTCAACTTCACAAACTCGCAAAGAATAATCGCAAAAACGTGTTTCCGGACCGTGTATGAATTCACCTAGTTGACGGTCACATCCTGTATTTCAGAGGCTGATCCTGCTCCAGCCGACGGAGAACAGGTGCGCGCCAGGAGACAGGCGTTCCTGGACCGACTCCAGCGCCCTGACGGCGGTCAGTCCACCACGTAACGCTCGTGACACCCCTCCGGCCCGGCGTGACGCTGCCGCGCGCGTCCGGGCCGCCCACTGTGATTCAACTCGTGACTCTGGTGTGGTATTTCCGCTTGACTTCATCGGAAAGTGTGGGCGGAGTGATATTTTTGTGCTCGTTATCAGTAGCGAGTAGCGCACTTGCTACTACTAAATGACAGTCATATTGTGGGTACTCACACAAGATAGTGTGATACGTTGGATACGCATTACCGTGCATGTCGCCTCAGATAAGGTTGCTATAGTTCGTTTTTTTTTTAAAAGGACGCTGGCTCCAAGTATGTTTTTCGAACAAGCACGTGTTTTAGCCGCCAAAACGAGCAAAAACTGAACCTGAGAAAATCGAACGTCGACTAATTTTAACATGTGATTTCTTCCCGATAACTTCCATATGTGCGTTTTGGAACCAGATATGGGAACAGTGCTGACGTCATGCTGTCGAACACGTATTGCAATGTAACGTATAACTATCATGGACGGAACCGCTTACTCGATTATGCTCGGCAACAGTGAAAAACTAAGTTTCACCCAAATTCGTTGACACTTGTCCCATTGCACGGACATTTGGGTGCCTGCTGCCACCAGTGACGTCATTATAGAATGTTCATTTTTAAGAAACAATTTCCAGCTACTTACCGTGCACAATTTGAAATCGATCATTTTTTCGGTAAGAAATTCTTGGCCAGACACTGAAGCTGCCAAAACTCACGTGAGAGCTTCGATATTGCACTTTGAGCCAGCGTCCTTTTGAAAAAAAACGAACTATAGCAGAAACACAGACCTTTATTTTCACTTGCTTATTTCACTTTATTTGTTTTGAAACCAAGAAGGACCGAATTAGCGCGTTTATGTTTGTAACTTATGCATCGCGTTTTTGCTATAACACTGCGTGATAAATCAACACCAGCGTGTTTTAGTTGCGTTTTTACAGCTGAAGCTGTAAACTGACCACAATAAGTAATTTTAGGTGAGCCGGTCGTTTGGGCTCTGTCGGACAGAGCTTGGTCTGACTCGCGGTCTTTTTCTTGTGCCGTTCTACATGCTGTAAGGAGAGTCTGATCCCCGTCACTACATGTTTTCACGATCACCTCGTAGAGAAAGTATACGATGTCATGTTTGCTGCTATTTAATCAGGTGACACACTACACTACCGTCTGAAGACAAAGCAAGACTGATGTCCAAGTATTCATTTAAATTGGTAGCGAAATGCCTTTCGGCTGTATTTTGTTTTCATGCTACCAGCTGGTGCCTTTGAATCAGTTGAAACCCTGTTACCAAGGATAGACTGTGGGATTCTCAGTCCAACTCTTGAAACCGAGGTCCAGCAATGTGGCGATGTGCCTGCGGGTAAATACAACCTCCTGGCCCTGAGCTGTCGTGTGCAGAGTTGACTTGCTGAAGCAGGACCTGAATAGAGATAAGTAGATTTAATGTTGTAAGCCTAATATGCTGCGACCGAGATCGAGCATGACGCTCAGAACAATTGTGTAACTGGCTATGGCCTATGAGGCGCAACGACTGAACGAACATCGTGAAAGTTTTAATTACGAACACTCTACCCGCTAATATTGTGTTCCCGCCAACAATATCCACAAAATATTTGTATATGCAATGAAATAAGTTTCGTAGACCCTTGAGGTTCGTTGAAAGAGATAGATGTGAGTGTGACCGTCAGATGGCGGTACGGTATCGTCGGCGACGCTCTCTTCCATCTGCTATAGCGCTGACAGTGCTCGGCTCATACTGTAGGTGTCGCCACCACCGCGCTCCGTCCAGCCCTGATGGCCGTGTGGGGCGGCGTGGATGGCCGTAAGGCGTATACACAGCTGAGAAGGACGGGGAGGGTGACAGCACTCCGCCGGGAGGGTGACTGGAGAACGAGAGCCGCTCGAAAACAGGCGACGTCCCGAAACGGCCGCTAGCGACAGTAGGGAGACGCCACGGTCGCCGTCGACGGGCTGCGGTCGGGCGGTCGGGCCCAGAGCGGGGTGTTGACTCGGCGAGCGGCTATTGCGGCATATGTGCTAGGTCGCGACTGGCAGATTTATCCGGCTGTGTATGGTGATTGCTTTTCATTAGAGGGGAAGGCCCCTCTAATGAAAAAGGGGAAGTCCCTCCGTCAACTTCTTAGCGAATGGTCAGGGGCAGGCAAAAAAGACGGCAACCCAAAGCTCTCGACAAGGCATGAACTAAAAGCATGAACTTATGTTACTATTATATTTCTTACCTAACCTCAAAGGTCACTGGTTGACCCCTGATCGCAAAATTGAGTACCAGTTGAGTTGAAACGGCTACGTTTTTTTTCCTCGAAATTCTAGCTAAATTAGGGGGCGAAACGGTGACCAAGTTCGTGGGTCATCGACATGTTGAAAACGAATAGGTTCGGTGACGGTTTGACTGGTTCTAGGTATTTTCCCTCTAAGCCACAACACAAATTGAGACATGCGACTGTTGAATTCGAAACTGTTCATTTAGCTTTTAACCCAATAAAAGATGACTGATCACCAAAGTAGGTAGAAGGTGACGATTAGGTATTGAAGACTAAAGCCGAAGTGCTTTCAGCGAGGTGCCGATCGGTGCTGTCCGTCACTACGTGGCCAAAGAACCGAATAAATGGATGAGGACCGTAAAAGCGGCCCACGCCGCGTTGTGGTTGGCGCGAGGACAACCTACCGAACAAAGAGAACTGTCAGGGGATAGTCGATAAATTAGTGCTATCTGCATGTGATTGGCATTCATTTTCCCAGCATTGCCGACCTCGATCTTCTAGGCCTGTGGATAACCGAAGTTATCATGGAATTAACAATGTACGAATAAAGTCCGTTTTTAGATCTTGGTTTTTAGGGCGTGCGTTGAACCGTTTACCCAAGTTCATAAGTTTTCAGAGGCAGAGCACACGCCTTATGAACTCGTACTGTTATAAATGGGGCAAGAAAAGTTTGTTTTTCGCAGCAGTGTGCCGCTCTTCTTGCACTCAGTTGCGTAACTACGTTTTCGTTAGAAGATAGGCACACCTACCTACTACTACCGGTACCGTACTAAATACGTACCCCATGAAATTGTGTCAAAAATACTTATACGAACGCTTTTAGCCATGAGAACATATATTTTTCGTAGCCCTCGCAAGCAGTCTTTACTGCGCGGAAATTGTCAAGGGGAGACAATGAACATTACATTAGGACAATTGGGCATCCATTAGGCTTGGGCAAAGCATGGGTGTAACTTTGTATACTTTCGAGGTCCCATGTGGGACCCCAATGCGAACATTTGGGACCCCAATTGTCATTTTGGGACCCCAATAGTGGAGGCCCCCCGAGACGCACCAGCTACTTTGCAAACGGAGGCCCGATGTTCATATAAAAGGTTCTCTGTTTAAATAGGAGGCCCCTTGGACAAATCGGAGGCCCTGTTGGACAAATAGGAGGCCCCCTGAACAAGTAGGAGGCCCCCCGGAAAACAGGAGGCCCCCTGGAGAAATAGGAGGCTCTCTGGACAAGCAGGAGGCCTCCTGGACAAATAGGAGGCCCTAGACAAATAAGAGGCCCCTAGACAAATAGTAGGCCCCATGGACAAATAGGAGGCCCTCTGTACAAAAAAGAAGCCCCCTGAACAAATAGGGAGGCCCCATGGACAAGTAGGAGGCCCTCTGTACACATAGGAGGCCCCCTGCAAAAATAGGAGGCCCCCTGGACAAATAGGACTTAGGAGTTCCTAGGCCTAGACAAACAGGAGGCCCCTTTCACAAAAGGAGGCCCCCTGGACAAATAGGAGGCCCCATGGACAAGTAGGAGGCCCTCTGTACAAATAGGAGGCCCCCTGCAAAAATAGGAGGCCCCCTGGACAAATAGAAGGTCCTAGACCTAGACAAACAGGAGGCCCCTTTCACAAAAGGAGGCCCTCTGGACAAATAGGAGGCCCCTTTCACAAAAGGAGGCCCCCTGGACAATTGGGAGGCCCCTGAACAAGAAGGAGGCCCCCGGGATAAAGAGGAGGCCCCCTAAAAATAGGAGCCCTCTGGATAAATAGGAGGCCGCTTGGAAAATAAGAGGCTACTTTAACCAATAGGAGGCCCCCTGTACAAATAGGAGGCCCCCTGAACACGTAGGAGGCACGCTGGACAAATAGGAGGCCTCTTGGGCAAAGAGGCCCCCTATAAAAATAGCAGGTCCCTTGGACAAATAGGAGGCCCCCTGGACAAATAGGGGGCCTCTTGAACAAATAGGAGGCTCCATGGACAAGTAGGAGCTAGAGGCCCTCTGTACGAATAGGAGGCCCCCTGGACAAATACAAGGCTCCCTTAACAAAAAGGAGTCCCTTAAAAAAGGAGGCCCCGGGACAAGTAGGAGACCCTTGGACAAATAGGAGGCCCCTGCACAAATATGAGACCCCTAGTCGAATAAAAGACCCCTGGATAAATAGGAGGCCCATGGACAAATAGGAGGCCCCTGAACACGTAGGAGGCCCCCTAGATAAAGAGGAAGCCCCCTGGAAAATAGAAGCCCCCTGGATAAATATGGGACCTTCTGGAGAAACAGGAGGCCTCCTTGACAAATAGGAGGCCCCATAGACGAATAGGAGGCCGCTTGGACAAATAGGAGGCGCCGTTAACCAATAGGAGGCCCCCTAGACAAACAGGAGGCCCTCTGTAACAGTAGGAGGCTCTCTGTACGTACAAGAGACCGACGCTCGACCTGTAGAAGCTTAGCTGTATGTACACTAGGAGGCTCTCTGTGCAAGTAGTCGAAGTAGGAGGCTCTCTGGTCTGTACTGTACCTACAATTACAATTAAGAGGCCCCCTGGGCAACTTAGATGCAACACAAATCGGAGGTCACCTATAAAAAAGCGGGACTCTGTTGGAATACCTGATTTAATAAAATATTTTTCTGATATTCAAATTACTTAGATAGGTAATCCTCGTCCGCACATGGGGGGGGGGGGCAGTGGTTGCCACACCCAGCTCCCCGCCCTAGGTAGTTTTTTCTGCTCTGCACTAAACATTTTGATTGCTAGAAATCGGATGTTTCGTATAGCTGCTGCTCTATCCTGTTTTAGCGTCCACTGAAAATTTCAAGTTTCTGTGGTTTTTGGTTTCGGAGATATGACCTTATTCTTCAGGTAATGTCATAGCCCAAATGACAAATACCCAATATCTTGCGTTGGCGTTGGGTCTTGTGAGCTTTTGACACCTTGATTTCGGCCTTTTTTGTCAGTCTTACTCTTACCTCCCATCTATCATGGAATATGTTGTTCAATGATGTAGAGATGCCAGGGTCAGGGTCAAGGTCAACCTAGGTCGTCTAAAAATATTGCGTTTTAGGCAAGCTGAATTTACTTTCGTGAAGTTTCTTTGACTGTATTTTTTGGTAAAAGCTTCTCAGTTCATGATCTCATGCAGGACACATTCACAATCGGTGCACACATCAGTATACACACAGACACACAGACATACAAACACATGTCATTGACCTTGAGCTAACTTGACCTGAAATGACCACAGCCAGCAAAAACCTAGTCGGATAGTGTGACAAAGAGGTTCTAGCTGGCTTGGCACCACAATACGGCAGCGTCATCGGTATATGATGAGCAGCGCACGTGATATTCCAACGGGCAACGGTGACCCCAAACAGCAACATTCTTTAGTTTGACCTGACCTGGAAGGTCAATAACTGACCTGATGAGGTAAAATTGGTATCATTGGATTCGTCTCTTCCCAAAGAATCTGTTGCTCTTGACCGCAAGGCTTAAAATCTTGTAAGAAAAATTGTGGTGATGTCGAATAAGATACCTACCTACACAAGCAGCGGGCCAACCCATCATAGGTATACCGATGACGCTGCCGTATTAGTGCCAAGCCAGCTAGAACAGCTCTTTGTCACACTATCCGACTAATTTGCTGGCTGTGGTCATTTCACGTCAAGTTAGGTCAAGGTCAATGATATGTGTTTGTATGTCTGTGTATGTCTGTGTATGTACTGATGTGTGCACAGATCGGTTTGTGTGTCCCTAACACTTGATCATGAACTGAGAAGCTTTTACTAAACATACTTACTTACTTATACTTACTTATACTTATAAAGTTCGGAATTTTGAAAGGCCACATGGCCTCAAGGATCCGGTCCTATCGAGCTCCTTACTGACTCAGTGTCCTGACTCAGTCGTTAAGGTGAGTTGTGTGTTTCAAATGTGCCCAGTGTTTGTCCAGTCTGGCTTTGAAGGCGTTTAGGTTGGGGGCATCGACAACTGATGGCGGGAGTCCGTTCCAATCGTTGATGACTCGGACGGAGAAGACATTTCGACGCACTCGGGATACGGCCCTCGGTTTCGACAGCTTCCATTGGTGTCCGCGGGTGTTGCCTGTCGCTGCCGCCGC